TCACTACCCACTTTTGGGTCTCAAACTATAGTTTGAAAAACACCAGTTTAAGGGATTGGTGGAACAGGTAAGGGCTAGTGAAGGGTGGAAAGGGGGGTGAAGAAAGAGATTTAGTTCAAAGCATAGACTAAACTGGACTTGAGAGCAGTAAAATTAAGTACCTGAATCAGGGCTCCTTTCTACAACGTGGGCTGAATAGTAAGCAATAAGAGTGCCGTTGTGAATAATGCTGCCATGAATATAGGAATGCAGAGATCTTTTCAAATTAGTGTCTCTGTTTCACTCAGATAAGTACCCACAAGTGGAATTTCTGGGTTGGATGGTAGTTCTATTTTTTATTTTTTTGAGGAACCTTCATACTGTTTTCCATAGTGGTTGTACCAACTTACATCCCCACCAACAGTGCATGCAGTTCCCTTTTCTCCACAGCCTCTTCAACACTGTTTCTTGTCTTTTTGATAATAGCCAATCTAATAGGTGTTAGGTAATTTCATTGCGTGTTTTTGTGTTTGTTTTTTTTTTTTTTTTTGCATTTCCCTGATAATTAGTAATGTTGAACATCTTTTGATGTGCCTGCTGGCCATCTGCATGTCTTCTCTGGAAAAATGTCTTATTTAGATCCTTTGCCCATTTTTAAATCGAATTTCATTTGTTTGTTTGTTTGTTATTGCTGTGAGTTGTTTGGGTTCTTTATATATTTTGAACATTAACCCCTTATCAGATATATGATTTGCGTACATATATGTAAGTAGGTAACACATTCAGTAGGTTACCTTCTTATTTTGTTGATGGTTCCCTTTGCTTTGCAGAAGGTTTTAGTTTGATGTAGTTTCACTTGTTTATTTTTGCTTTTGTTGCCTTATTTAGAGTCAGATCCAAAAAATCATTAACAAGACCTATGGCAAAGAATCTACTGCCTGTATTTTCTTCTGGGAATTTTATGGTGTCAAGTCTGACATTCAAGTCTTTAATACATTTTTGAGTTAATTTTTGTGTATGGTATAAGAGAATGGTTTGGTTTCATTCTGTTGCATGTATCTGTTTAGTTTTCTCACCACCGTTTATCAAAGAGACTGTCCTTTCTCACATTTTGTATATTCTTGGCTCCTTTGTCATAAATTAATTAACTATATATGTGTGGATTTATTTATGGGCTCTTTACTCTGTTCCATTGATCAATGTGTCTGTTTTTATGCCAATACTATACTTTTTGATTACTATAGCTTTGTAGTATAGTTTAAAGTCATGGAATGTGATACCTTCCACTTTGTTCTTCTTTCTCAAGATTGCTTTGGCTATTCAGGGTATTTGTGGTTCCATACAAATTTTAGAGTTATTTGTTCTAGTTCTATGAAGAATACCATTGGAATATTGATAGGGATTACATTGAGTCTGTAGATTGCTTTGAGTAGTATGGACATTACTTATAATAACCTAAGTGTCCATCGATAGGTGAATGGATAAAGAAGATGTGAGATATATATGAAAATCTTACCATTTGCAACAACGTGTATAGAACTTGAGAATATTATGCTAAGTGACATAAGTGAAATAAGTCAGATGGACAAACACCATATGATTTTACTTACATGTAGAATCTAAAAACCAAAACACAGGTATAAACAAAACAACAAAATTCATAGATACAGAGAGCAGATTAGTGATTGTCAGAGGGGAAGGGAGTTAGGGGGTGGGTGACATATGTGAAGGGGTTCAATTGTGTGGTGATGGATGGTAACTAGACTTATTGTGGCAATCACTATAATGTATATAAAGATCAAATTATTATGTTATACACCTCAAACTAATATAATGTTATATACCAATTTGACCTCAACCAGAAAAAAAAAGAGTACCTAAGCAGATATACTATTTTGGTTTACAGTTGTACTTACCTTGTCAAGAATAATTATTTGTTTGTAGGAATGAGTTTTCCTTAGGTAATGATAGTCATTCTGTTCTACTTTTAGTAAGAAATAACATTTCTAAGCTCTACGGTGGTAAAATAGAACCTCATTTATTATTTCTTCTAGAATTTCTATGTAGATTTGTAACTACCTGCAATTCTTTATAAATTGATATTGACAGTCAGAAGGTCTTACTATCAACAGCTGCTTATCTTTTGTAATTGGACCATGAATCCGAGGCTGCTTCCTGTTTGGCTAATGCTCCTTCTTTGGGGCATTAGTGGAAGCTTCCGTTTTACCTTCTGCACAGCAGGGCTGCTTTCTCCTGGTTTATTGTTAACTTTCAAGCGATCACACTTAGGCTCTGGTCTCATCCTTGCGAAGGAGGTTGCCTATTTGGTGGATTAGAGGAAGATTCTGAAAAGTAAGATAATGGGCCAGGAGAAGATTTTCTGGGATAAAAGGCTCCTAAGGGCTCTGACAATATGGAGGAGAAAAGAAATGGAAAGAGAAGGAACCAGATTTCCCTGGTTCGGGTATTAGTTTAAGGTGAGTGTGACCTCGATTTATAACGAGTGTGCAATTTGATGCTCAGTAGAATTGGGTCCTTAATATTTATACCACGTTGTGTAAGTGCTGTCCTTCCAAGTGCTTTCTTAAATCCTCTTAACTTATAAATGGCAGCTTTGATTTCTTTTAAAAAAAAAATCTTTCATTTATCCAGCCTAAGATAGTAAACAATAGATGCTGAGTGCCCTCCTCCCATGGCAGCCCTCAAGACTGAGACCTATATTCTGGAGAGTTGATTGCTGTGCTTTTGAGCTTATTAAGGTGGTGTGTAACTGAGGGGTGGAGGGCACGCTGATGCCGCATTGTTGGTGCCAAGGCAGCTCCTGGAGTACCGCATGACGGTCCGCTCAGCTGTGCTCAGTAGGGAAGATGAAACCACACGCCCATTTGGAGTGATCAATGCTACTTTTTTTCTAGTGAGCAAAATGTTAGGGAGTTAGACTTTCGCCTAAATGATTTTGGATTCAATTTCTGCAGAAGGACCCCGAGCTTGCTGTAGTGGACAGAGTGTGAGCTCATGAAACTACCTGTTAGGTGTTGTGGGTCATCCCCCCCACCCGCCGCGCCCCAGCTACTTGGTGACATCTGTTATTTTATGTCTTCATTACAAATGCCCCCTCTCTCTGGGGCCTTCAGGACACATGCAGAGAAGAGAGAAGAATTAAAAATGAAGCTCAGTTCTGGTCAATGTGAATCACTGGGTCCTCGGGGGATGTCACTTATGCAGGAGATGTTTATTAAGTGCGCGCAGGTGCTAGACTAGTACATCGCATTGGAGTAATAAGACAGCCTGTGTCCCAGGACAGGACTAAGTGCCAGGAGTCAGTCACTACAGACACTGGGAGACACAGGATAGAGCAGCCTGTTTCAGAAGCTGGGGCAGCCCATGAGACGCACTCTTCTCAAGGTAATTTATTTGCCAAGTGGTTGATGCTTACGTTTCCTTTGCTATGTTTGGGCCACAGAGAGCCCTTTGAAGTGGCTCCGATGACACAGTGGTGTGTCAGTATATCACAACATTGGTGCTGAGCTGGTGGGGGAAGGGTGTCTGCCCTCTGAGGCTGTTCTCAGACCACCCAGGGCACTGCTGGTGAGTTGTCAATGGTTCTGAGAGAGCAGGTTGACATGCAATGTGCAGGCATGCCTTGCTCAGGAAAAAGAAAACAGGCACAACTGACTTGGTAATCTCTTACCCACCTGGACTCATGGACCTAGAATATACATAAGAACCAAGAAATTTGTGGACGTAATCGAAGCCATAAAGCACAGATGTGTACGCACAGGCCCATCTGCACGTACACAAGCAGATTTGGAGACCTAGTTTCTAAACTGCTTTGTGGGTTTTGAAAGCAGAAAATTACAAGGGGAAGAGAAATGTATGTAAAAGGAATGGCCCAGTAACAGTACGATCAAGTGACAGTTACCCCTTTTAAAGGGAGAAATAAAGAAGATGGAAAACTGAAAAAGAGAAGATGTAATCCCGCTGAAAGTCCCGCCAGCCATTTCCTGTGTCATCAGGCAGCGGAGGCGGCCAAGAGCTCTAGGGCATGGGATTGGAGTGGGAAGTTTGGAAGTTTCCCTAGTGATTTTCATGCAGCCCTGTTTGCGTATTTCTGTACTACAGACCATAAGGCAGCTGATGTCCCCTGTTCAGCAAGAGATGTTACATTCTGCTTTTAGGAAGACAGATGTATGCTAGCTCTTAAAATATTCCCAGTCACGATGGTAACGTTAATTTCTTGATGCTTTAAGCATCACATCCTTAGCTCTTTGAAAAACTTAACTCTTTAGGGCGTTCTGTTTCCTGAAAGATTGGAATTTTACTGCATGTGGAAGATCACACCACGTAGAAAATACTAATTTGTATTATAAAAAATCCAGTTACTTTATGAGCCGTAAACTCTTAGAGCAGATTATAAGTAACACTTTATGCATATTATGCAGTGACTTGCAACTTTCCAGAAACGCATCTGAACATCTGCATCCCTTTGTGTCTTCACCTCTCATTTGCCATTTGTTAGCATATTATTTTGCATGTTAGGTCGTATGTATAATCCATCTTCCTGGCCAAAAATATCTTCTTAATGTTTCCAGCTCCTAATACATAGCAGGTCTCAACAAATACTTATTGAATGACTAATAATGAAACAAGTTATGCTGAGCTATCTAATTAATCCTTTACTGACCGTGTAAATACTTTCCATTATCTTTTTCCCCTCTGAGATTACATACTGAAATCTTTATGGTGTGTGAACTGCATTTGATGATTGGAGTTGTCTGAACATTGAATGGCTTCTTTATGCCTTTGCTTTTCCCTTACTGAACTAAAGGGCGGAAGCAGCGTGAGGTAGTGTAGAGTGTGAATAGGTTATGGGCTTCAGATGAAGCTCTGAGGTGTGTTCTTGTGGCAGGTGTGTCCTTGCCTTGATGGGGTCACTGCGGTGAGGCCAGGGGCCATCGGGGAGGCATGTATCATAGTGTCAAGAAGATGCTCACCTGTGCTCACTCTGTCATTGGTCCCAGGTGACTGTGGAGGAGGTCATGACCACAACTGCCTACTTGGACCTGTTTCTGCGTAGCATCTCCGAGCCAGCACTACTTGAGATCTTCCTCCGTTTTATCCTGTTGCACCAGCACGAGAATGTTCACATCCTAGACACTCTCACCAGTCGAATCAACACCCCATTTCGGGTAAGATTTCAGGGGAGTTTGTTTTGGAGTAAGATTATGAATATTTTTTTTTCTCTGCCCCCTTCCCCACCTTTTTTTTTTTCTTGCAGCCATTATCTTTTCTACTTTGGAAACAGAGAATGCATTTTGCTATTAGGTGTCCTTTTGTCAGGGGGGTGGCACTTACTGCCTTTCATAGGACATGTTTCTCAATTTGTCTGGGTTGGCACTTTCTTCTGTGGAACTAGCAGAATGTGCTTCGGAGGAGGCACGTTGCAGCAGAACATATGGGTGTAAGTGCAGGCAAAGCCAAAGAACCAGAGTGTAGCAAGTCTGGATGTTAGAGATTATAGTTCTGTCCTCAAGTATTTTGAAATGGAAGTCTGGGCAGTTGTGAATTTAGGAAGTCATTCTTTAGTTTAAAGTTCTGATCAACTTTGAAAATCCTCTTATACTATTATTGTTGCCCTTTGCAACCCCCCTCCTCTACCAAAGGCTATCTTTATTTAATTATAATTATTGTTTTAAAAGTAAAAGAATAATAACTTAATGGATTATTGAGTTTGCAACATATATGTATATGGTATGTATAATAATAATAGCACAAAAGAGGAAGGGGTAGAGCTGTATAGGAGTGATATTTCTCTATTTCACAGGAGCTAATTTAGTGTAAATCTGAAGTAAAGTCTGATAAGTTAAGATGTATATGGTAAGGCCGAGAGCAACCACTAATAAAATAACTTAAAAAATATAGTGAACCCTGGTTGGTGTGGCTCGGCTAGCTGGAGCATTTTCTCATATGCCGAAAGGGTGCAGGTTTGATTACGGTCAGGGCACATACCTCGGTTGCCTGTTCAATCCCAGTCAGGATGAATACGAGAGGCAAGTTATCAATGTTTCTCTCTTGCATCAATGTTTCTCTCTCTCTTTCTCTCTTCCCCTCTCTCTAAAAATCAATGAACATGTCCTTGGGTGAGGATGTATATATATATATATATATATATATATATATATATTATTAAAGGAATAAAATGTTATACTAGGGAAAATATTCACTTAATGCAAAACAAGACAGTGAAAGAGGAATAGGAGAATAAAAAATTATGACATATGAAAACAAAAAGTAAAACAGCAGACAGAAATCCAATTATAACAATACTATTAAATGTGAATAGGTTAAAAACTTAATCAAAAGGCAGAGATTGTCAGACTGGATAAGAAAAGAAGAGCCAACCATATGCCATCTACAAGAGTTACACTTTAAATTAAATGATACCAATAGATTGAAAGTTAAATTTCTAAACCTGAACTGAACCAAATGATTGATAATACACAAAGAATAACCTTTAGAAAGAATAAGTTAAGTTTATGGAACAGTACACTTACTCTAAAGATAAAAGCTTAAATAGCTACTATAGTTTATCAAAGTGCACAGTGTTGATCAAAGAGTATAAATTTCCAGCTATAAGATGAATAAATCCTGGGGATCTAATATACAACATGATGGTTATAGTTAAGAATACTATATTATATACAGTATTACCATAGTAACCCTTCAAATCAATGTCTAGGTGCACAGCACAGTGTACTTGTCTTTGTATCATTGAGTTGTAAGAGTAAACAGAGAATGTGTATTCAGACTGTCTGTCTCCTATAGTATTCGATTAGAAAGCCTAAACCTGGAATTAGGCCATTATGCAGAATTATCCTCCTACAAAATAGTTCACTCCTATTTCTAATCTGTAAAGATCCAGATAAACCTGTCCCTATAACTCTCCAATGCATGCATCCTGTACAAAGAAGGAGAGCCTGAATTACAATTACTTACCTGGCCTGATAGAATGATAAGCGCTTACTCCCAAAAGGGCATGACGATTTTATAATATACCTTTGATTTCTTTCCAGTATGGTTGTGTATCTTTCCTTTTTGGAAATCAGAGTGAGAGAAGTCTCTTTTTTTTTTAATGAACTTCTTAGAAAAGCGTATTATCACACCCTCAACACAACTGAAAATGGAACAGAGGAGAAGGTTTGCCCCAAATCCACGAGGAGCTGCAGCTCAGGGCTGAGAACTTGAGAGGGAAGTTTGGCCAGAGCATATGCAGTTTCCTGTTAGCCCTGCCTTGTAGATAATGAATGTCATATCTGAAAATAACTTAGGCAAACAGGTGACAAGCAAGATCTTTATGTGGGTCTTAAACAGGTGGAACTGTGAGGGAGTCATGTTGTAGGGGGGCAGTTCTGCATAATGGTATAATTCCAGGCGTAGTCTTTCTAATAGAATCCTACAGAGCTGATAGCCTGAATACCCGTAATGCACATTCTCTGAGGCAGCAGCATGTTTCATCAAAACTGCTGAAGAAAAGGCCATTTTATTTTGTATTTTTGATTTATTTGCCATCTGTGGAGAGTGGAGCCGTCCTTCCAATATCTGAACTAGAACGTGTTTATTGTTCCCCAGCTCTGTGTGGTGTCCCTGGCATTATTTAGGACTCTCATCGGTTTACACTGTGAGGACGTGATGTTACAACTAGTTCTGAGGTGAGTGACCTCTTTTGTTCCCTTTAAAGAAAGCCTCACTCTGTACTGCTGCTATTATATATTTCTTTGGTAACATAAGCTGAATAGGGGCTGTGCATCAAAGGAAGGAAATCATCAAGACCAATCAATTTAATTTCTGCACTATCTCCCAAGGTTAATTTTAGTTTTACTGTTAAAAGTTTTCAGGGGGCCAAATACATTATGTTACAAATATACTCCTGCAAAGAAAAGGTAGGATGTTTGGAAATTTTCAGAATTATTATAAAAGCTCTTCTGAGGTGTGGCTGAATGTCTTTTTCATAAACAAGGGGACCTGTGTTATTTGGGGGGAAAAAACCCAAACTTTTCTAAATGTGAAATGCTGTTGATATATGGTTCCTGTGACTATTGCTTTGGTAATGGTACAAATACAACGTGCACTCTAACCTGTATGTATGTTTCAATGAAATTCAGTAAATATTTAATGAGTACTTTCTGTGTGCAGCTCAGAAGGGAGTAAGGTGTGGAGCAGATGAGTTGAAAAGGACTCAATGTACAAGGTAGAAAAGGTGTGTCCTTCAGGGGCATCGGTGGGAAGGGTTTCATCGAGTGGCTGGTATTTGATGACAGGTGTTGAGAGTCAGAGTAGACTGCTATTAAGGCGACATTAATTTGGACATTTGGCAAGGGGACTCAGGAACCCCAAATCCTGTCTTGGCCCAGGTCTGCCTCTCCTGGGGTCCCTCAGGGCAGCAGCTGCTTCTGTAAAGGAAGAAAGGGAGGGTAGGCTGGGTCTGTGCTCCACACTCCCCTCTGGTGGTCCCTGGGCACCCTCCCCCCACACACCTCCTCCCTCCTTACCGGGCTTCCCGACCCTTCCTGTGACCCCGCTCTGGGAATATGGTGGAAGAAGCCAGAGCAGTAGGAGAGGAGGAGACTTGGACTGCCCCTGCCCCCCATGTGGGCTTTGATACAATGTAGGTGGAATTACAGGGAGATGGCATTCCAAGTACCTGTATCAGCCTTTCTAAAGAGGTAGTTCTTTGGAAAAGGAAGGGGATGGGAGTGTCATCAGGGGGACAGCAGCATGGCATCGCCCCAGAGCTAGTTAGAAACGCACATTCCTGGCCTTCTCCAGAGGGGCTGGCTCCGCCCATTGTGGGTGGGCATGTTTTACAAACTATCCAGGGTATTCTGATGGCTGGCTAGCCGTGTAGCTATAGCACCTGCAAAAGCGAATGATAAACAACAGGCAGGAAGGTTGGTGGTGCCATCATGGTGGAGGCCTTCAGAGTTATCCGGTTACGGGAGAATATCGCCTATTCATTTTCTGTGTTTAAAAAGAGTTTTGGACTTTTTAGTGGTTTAGATCAGGTCATCAGCAACCACTCTTGAGGCATTAGCAGGGAACAAATCCTATTAGGAGTGAATGCCTGGGGTAGTCTGGGCAGGGCATTAGTTATCTGTCCCAGAAGGATTACTTAGCTCCCCATCCACTCTCTACCGATATGATAGAATGCATTAGCAACGCTGGGTGAAATCCATCAGAGCAGCTATTAAAGCCTTTTCTATACCCCAAAACTAGACTTTGCTTCCAACAAGGGCAAAACCTGATTATATTTAAATGGTAAACTCTCGAATACTGCTTCTCTGAGGCATGAAAAGCAGGCATCTCTTTTAGTGTACCTGGAAGCCTGGTCCCACTCCGGAGGGGCGGAGCTTCCCCACACTGGGCCACCCGGCCAGCTGAGCCAGGTGGTGGAAGCTGGCTGTCTACATTTCCAAGGTGGCCTCTCCTCGCCTTTTGTCTGGTTATAAAGTGATGTTTGCTAAAAACTGTCCTTAGAGATGATATTAGTTAAGGCTTTTTTTTTTTAAACACAGATTTGTACCTTATGAACGTGAAGAATTAATTGGCTCATTGTTGAAATATGTACATACTCAAGTCAGGACTAGTTATTTCCTGGATCAGGAATTACTAGAAGAGTGCATGAAGGACACATTATCTCAGGTTCTGAATAGAATAATGGGGAAAATGTGGACAAAGCCACCTGGTCCTAGGTTTTCTTCTTTGTTTCTTTGATGATGACGACGATGATGATGAAGAAGGTTGCCTTTTATTGAATGGTTTATTTCTAATTCTGCCGCACTGCCTGGGGGAATCCATGAGAAGAGCGAATAGAGGACTTACACAGAAGTTGGGCATGTGGGAGATACCTGGGCAACCTCTACTTCCTGGTCTCTGCCCCCTGAACTACTGATTTCCCCCCACATTTAAAATTATTTATAATTGTGGCAAAATACACATAACAAAATTTTCCCTCTTAACTATTTGTACTGTTCAGTGGTACTAAGTACATTCACATCGGTGTGTAACTATCACCACCATCCATCTCAGAACTGTTTTCACCTTGCAAAAGTAACACTGTAATTATTAAACAATAACTCCCCATTTCTCCCTCCCCCCAGCCCTTGGCAACCACTGTTCTACTTTCTGACTCTATGAATTTGACTACTCTAGGTACCTCATATAAGTGGAACCAATAGTGTTTGCCTTTTTGTACCTGACTTATGTCACTTAGTATACAAATGTCTTTAAGGTTCATCCATGTTGTACCATGTCTGATTTTTTTCCTTTTTAAGGCAGAATACGATTCTATGTATACCATATTTTTAATTCATTCATCTATTGATGGGCACTGTGGATTGCTTCCAGTTTTTGGCTATTGTGAGTAATGCTACTATGGGTGTACAAACATCTCTAGAAGACCCTGCATATATTTGGGTATATGCCTAGAAGTGGAATTGCTAGATCATATGGTAATACTACTTTAATTTTTTTTATTGTTTTCCATAACAGCTGCACCATTTTACATGCCTACCAACATATGGATTTCTCCATATCCTCACCAACATGTGTTATTTTCTTTTAAGAAAATGGATAGTTTTAATAAAATAAAAATGACAAGCAGGTTTGAGGAAGAACCAACTAGAGCTCTTAGAAACAAAAACTGTAAATATTAAAATGAAAAAAGCTGAGTGTTTAGGGTAAATAGCATTTAAGATACAGATTAAGAGATACTTAATGAACTAGAAGATAGATTGAGGAAGTTATTCAGTTTACAGCAGAAAGAGATAAAGAGATAAAAAATATGAAAACAAGGCTATGAACAGTGGAGGCAAGAATCCAGCTAGGGCCCCAGAGTGGGTGGGAGTGAACTGCTGATTTGACTTGACCTGTTCTGGTTTTGGAATTTGCTGCCTCATAAGGTTTTTAAAAGGATCAACTGTGGTGATATCTGTGAAAATGTGTTGAAATGCTATGAGGTATTGCACAAATTTAAGGAGGTGGAATTTTCTAGAAAATGCGTTTTAAACTAATGAAAACAATGTCTCTTCTGATTTAGAATCTGTACCAAAAGCAAGGACAATGAAAAGTCCTTATTCTGTTATTCATTTGAACTTTATCTTAAGGGACATAAAAAATAGATTTGTAAGCCATCCTTTTGTTGTTGCCACTGTTGTCACTCAAGTGTACACGATAAATTTGTAGATCTGGGAGGCAATAGAGCAGTGAAGGTTATGTGAATCCTTTTAATGGAGTTATTTGTTATGTGATAAATAAATAATAACTACATCAATTTCGTTGCAACCCAAATACTCTTAAATATTGACGTCTCAAAGTGATAATCCAATTGCAACTGATATCCTTCTTTCAGTTAGCAAAATATCAGAAAAGTACATTGAAATAAGATACTCCCCAAAGAGAGGCTATTTTAGTGAACAGAAAACCAAGGAGAAATGATCCATCTCCATGGATGTGACATGTGATAGGCCAAAGGCAGGCAGAAATGCTGGCGAGCAGTGAAGGGAGAGATCACCCCCAGGTTCCTGGCGCTTCCCAGTTTAGGCAGAATTTAACTGCTTAATCCTCCGGATGCCATTGATGAATGTTCTGGGTAGGGTGTTTTTTTCAGAAGTGCTGGTCCATTGTCAGCTTTACGAACTGCATTGCCTGTTGTGTTTAGAGAGGCTGTTTTGCTCAAAGAGCAGCTGTGTGTGCACTTCAGGAACATTTCCATCGAGCACGGGAGTTAGGTGTCTGGAGCGGGGGGGGGGGGGGGGGGGGGGCCGGGGGGGGGATCCCCCCCCCGCCTCAGGTAGGACAAATAGGAGAAATGTGGCCATACTGTCTTTGAAAACGAAACAATCTTTTTTGAAATTCGTTAACATTGCTTTCTAAATGTTTGCCTCGTGGTCTGTTATTCAGGTCATCATCATCCCACAAGAAGCACCTTGCTTACGTCATTGTACTGCACTGTTTTGTTTGTTTTTATTGTCGATGGAGCAATAGGCAATATGTGTGCTTTGTTATCCACTGGTTGTCATTGAATTGTTTCAGAAGTGATGATGATTTGTTTTAATGAGCGATACCCAGGAAAAGAGAAAACGGACAAGGGGTGCAGAGAGTTGGGGAAAAAATGAAGAGAGGGAGGACAGTATGGACAATATATATTTTTCCTGCTATGTTGTGGGACGGCTTTGAGTAATCTGGACTCCTAAAATCAGATATGTATTACTTTGTGATTATATTTATGACTTTCTGAATTTAAATAAGACTCCTAAACAAAATAAGTAGAGTAAAAATGAAAAGATAGTCTGATGAGAAATACTTATACTAAATTCCTCAGTGACTTTTTGCTACCGACAGCCACTTCATTTTGATATTTGACATTGGGAAGCATCTGACATTTGTTCTGTTTCTTTCTTTTTTTAAATTAAAGTATAGTTGGCCAATAATAGTACAATATTATATTAGTTTCAGGTGTACAACATAGTGATTTAACATTTTATATCTTATGATGTGATCACCATACTAGTAACTATCTGTCACTGTTCAAAGTTGCTCACTATTATCCCCTTCACCTTGTCACTCATGCCCACAATGCTCTCCCCTCTGGCAGCCATCAGTTTGTTCTGTGTTTCTATGAGTTTGTTATGTTTGGTTTGTTTGTTTGTTTTGACTTAAAAAAATGCAACATATAAGTGAGATCCTATGGTATTTGTCTTCCTCCGTCTGACTTATTTCACTTAGCACAATACCCTCTAGGTCCATCCATGTTACAAATGACAGGATATCATTCTTTTTTATGGCTGAGTAATATTTCATTGTGTTTATGTGCCACATCTTCTTTATTCATTCATTTATCAATGGACACCTAGGTTGCTTCCCTAACTTGGCTATTGTAAATAATGCTGCAGTGAACATTCATTTTTGTTTGTTTGTCTGTTTTGTTTTTACGTGTTTTAAAAAAATCTTTCTCTATAAATGATGGAAAGGCAGAGAGTCAGTGTACAGTTTTCCTGCCCTTCCCTCTGGAATAAGCTTTCATTATAAAGACACAGTAGAAGTACTGCATTAAATGAGGGGGTTATTTATTTGAAATGAATCCCCCACTTGTTGTAGAATCTCTCCTTCAACCTACAGGGGATCTTCCTTTATTTAATTTACTCAGAAGAAAATTCTTAGTTTCTACCGAAAGCATGTGTTTGCAAAGTTATAAATTCCCAATACCTCTTTATTCCAATATAATTTCAAGCTACACACTGGTTATATTTGATAAGTAGCTTTATTAGGTTTGATCCAGTACCATTTTTAAAAATATTTCAACAAAGAGCAGAAATCCGTGTATAGCGACTTAAATCATGAAATATGCTTGGTTTGAACACACTTTCTTCTCCCCACAATGTGTTCTAAGCGTGTCAGAAACGATTGCTCAGATATTCTTGTCTCCATGGTCATGATGATACTAGGATGCTTTTGATCACCAACCAAAAGTGTTTTGTGTGAAATGGGGCCCTCAGTGAGTCTTTGGCCACCATATTTTCTCATAGTCACTCAAGAGAATATGGGAGGAGACTTGTATGATGCAGTGATTCCACTGTCCTTCAGTGCCCACTAGGAGGCAGAGTTCCTGGGATTATATTTCAGAATTATTGAAAGAGGTCCTTTGCTCTGAGAGCACATTGTATTGAGGAGGCAAACACCAAAATAACTTATTAAATACTAGTCCTTTAGTAGAGGTCTGTGTGCATAGCGGAGGGAGAAGCTCTGTCTTCTTGGAGTAGGTAGCCTGGAAGCCTTCCTGGAAAAGGTAACACTGAAGCTGGACTTTGTAGGATGACAAGGCATTTGTCATGCAGGGAAAGCACCTTTTGGGTGAAGGTCACAGTGGGTGCAGAGGCACAGAGGCAAAGAGGGATAGGATAGCAGCTCCATTAAGAAATGAGGAAGTTTGTGCAGCTTAAATTGTGAAGGCCCTCAAATGCTCTACACAGGGGGTTGTTCTGTCAGAAGAAAGAAGCTCTTGACACATTTTAAGCAAGAGAGAGAACCCTGGGGTCTGGTGGGATAGATGGATTGGGAGTGTGGAGAGGATGGGTCACCCCTGGCCATTAGTCCTGATTATGGCTGAGGAGGCGCTGGTTGGGAACAGACCTTGCGGAGACTGAATGCCGCCCTCTTTGTCATTCCAGGTACCTGATCCCTTGCAACCACATGATGCTGAGTCAGAGGTGGGCTGTGAAGGAGAGAGACTGCTACTCGGTGTCTGCGGCCAAGCTGCTCGCCCTGACCCCAGTCTGCTGCTCCAGCGGGATCACCCTGACGCTTGGGAACCAAGAGAGGGATTATATCCTCTGGTCAAAGTGTACGCACGATAGTTCAGGTAGGAACTTGCTGGTGATGCTCTTTAAACAAAAGGATACCAGATTCTGTGGGTCTCTTTGAGAAGATGGAGAATAAGACGGTGAGCTCCGCGTCTTTTATGAATATTTCGTTGGGGGTCCTTTTCTGCATCGTAAGGAGTTATGACACTTTGTAGTTAGGGTTCATTTTCATGCCCAGCTGTCGCCGATTCCGTGCACCCAGACCTTTATTTTAACTAGGATTTCTAGTGTCGCCCTCAGAATCCAAATGTGAAGGAAGACGCATACCACTATGTCTCCTCAAACAAAATAGGGGCGAGGGATGTGGAGATGGAAGAGCTAAGATAGAATTAGCTCTTACTTTAATTTCTGAAATGGCCCATTTGTGGGCGCTTGCCTGTCAATAATGTATCACCATAAAACTCGAAATTTGTGATACGTCTCATAAGGGTCAAAATTTGGGGTACATCAACAGTATCTGAGTCATTTGACTGACCTACAGGAGTGATGTGCTGTTTGCCAGCTGTACTTGATCTTGTACAAGTAAAATGGAAATAGTCACCTATCAGCCATGGCTCCCTGCAGGCAGCTGGAACGAGGGGGCGTCGTGTATCTTTAGCGGTCAGATGGCTGTTTTAGTCCAGGAGGGTTCTGCTTGTCCTGCCACCACCAGCATGTGGCCCAGTCCTGGTGTTGCTTCGGGTGATCTGATCTGTGTTCTGTTCATTCAGGTGTACTTCTGTTAGGCCCCAGTCTGCTTGATTCAGAAAATATCAGCCTATTCGGTATAAATGTAATTTTTAGAAATTAAGGTTGTCATACTGATTTTTTCTCTTTAAATACACAGTATATGCATGAAAATTAAAAATTTTTGTGGTAGTATAACAAGATGAATTTTAGGTATATTTTCCTGTTGGCTAAACTAATGTGGATTTCTTCGATTTTCCTGCCAAGTAATTATTTTTTAAAAACGTATTTGAAACTTGATGTCTTTCTTTACTAAAAATGTTACTTCAAGAATGATTCTGTGGCTGATCTTGCCACAGATTCAAAATTCAAGTTAAACGAACAATTGTAAGTGCCTGAAACTTTCTTTCCTTGTGTTATCATATTTAATTCTTCGGAGAAGGTAGGATGCCCAGATTAGAGATGAAGAAACAAATTCAGAGAGAGGGATTGGCTTGTTCAAGGTTATCTAGCGGCTAGGTCCTCTGTTCTTTCCACTATGCTGCCTCTAGGGTTCCTTACAGCAGACAAATGCTCTAACGGATGGGTGGTTACATAGAAAGAAAGGTAGTTAGGTGGGTGGGGAGATAGATGCTATAATTATTGTGCAGTGGCTAAGAACTAGGATTCTGAATCTTGGGCTCTGCTACTTTCTTGGGCCAATTACTTAACCTTTTAAACTGTTTTCCTCATATATGAAGTAGTACCTGCCTGAAAGTGTTGTTCCAAGGATAAGTGCCCTTGGACATGTAAAGCTTTCGAAGACTACCTGGCATGTAGTAAGTGCTAAATAAATATTGCTAGTATTGTTTTTTAATGTCTTTTTATTTATAGGAGATAAGAGGTCAACACTAACCTTTTAGCAGTAGAACCATAAAAAATGAATTATGTCCACCTTGATGGCCTGAAAATGTATATTCGTAAAGGTCCCATTCTGGCCTCGTCTGGAGGAGATTTAGATAATGAGGAGACAAGAAGCTTTCAAAGGTGTGGCATCAAGTGAAATAAGAGCAGGGAGTGACAGGAGACAGCCTGTGTTTGAGCGGTGGCTCTGCCACTGACCAGTTAGTTGGGTGATCTTACTAGTATGTCTCAGCCTCAATTTCTTTCTTTCTTTTTTTTTAGAAGATCTCTTCGTTTTTTTAAAGTATATTTTTATTTTATTTATTTCAGAGAGGAAGGGAAAGGGAGAGAGTTAGAAACATCAATGATGAGAGAGAATCATTGATCAGCTGCCTCCTACATGCCCCCTACTGGGGATCGAGCCCACAACCCAGACAAGTGCCCTTGACTGGAATTGTACCTGGGATCCTTCAATCCGCAGGCCGATGCTCTGTCCACTGAGCCAAACCAGCTAGGGCTCAGCTTCAATTTCTTAATCTATAAATGCAGAAAATACTATCTACCACATAGGTTGTTGTGAGGATTGAATTAGCACCGATAAAGCACTTGCCACATGGGAGATATTTAAGGAAACTGCAGAGTATATATTTTTCCTTGTTTGAGTCCTTTTTCCCCCTGAAGTCCCTATTTTTCAGTTCTGCAGTAAAGAACTTGAACATCAAAGGCAGAGTATGGGAACACTTGAAGCATCCTTAGGTAAAAAGAACCATTTTGGTAGCGAATAGGACTTTATCATAAAGAGTACATATCAACCCCAATAGTTCCCAGGAAGGCAGCACAAGTCAACAGGCTTTTCTAAAAACCCAGTGTTTTCCAGAGAAAATCTGCTCCCCAAATTCATGGATTACAGGCCTTCCACTTTAGGATCAAAGTAAAAATCTTTAAAATCATTACCTACACTGTGGCAGGTACTATATCCGATATATTACCTAATTCAATCCTCTCAGCAACCTGAGAGGTTGCCATGATCAGCTCTTATTTCTCTGAGGACTGCTACCAAGTAAGTTTTCCTTTGGAGACAGCCAGTATCTGACTGGCCACATTGGTTCTACATCTCCTTTGAGGGCAGACTTTCTGCTCTTATCTCTCCTTCTTAAAATCTAAGCATTTTAAATTATTCAGAGATAATTTAATCAGACATTATTAGAACCAAAGTAGCAGATGAAAGAAGGTCTCAGCAGCCGGATGAGCCACATCCCCGCCCATGGCCTTTGTCCCCCCAACTCTCCGAAGTGTCCGGGCTCATTCACTCTGACTTGCCTCTGCCTCCCGCAGGCCCCTGGAGCAGCCGCTGCCCGAGGCGTCCTCCCCATCGGCCTGCATCGTGGAGTACGGCAAAGCCCTGGACATCAGCTACCTGCAGTACCTCTGGGAGGCCCACGCCAACATCCTCCACTGCATGAGGGACTGCCGGGTCTGGTCCGCCCTCTACGACGGAGACTCCCCGGACCCTGACACCTTCCTCCAGAGTCTGACGGAGGAGAGCACCACCAGCCCCGCCTGCCCCGCGCTCAGGCTCAGGCTTCCCCAGCAGCTCCCCAGGGAGACGGGGCCTCAGCTGCCTCCCAGAAGGGACAGGGGCCACACGGAACTGGAGTGGGACGACAGCTATGACACCGGGATCTCCTCGGGGGCCGATCTGGAGAATCCTGGGCCGCCGGCGCCCATCGAGCCCCCCAAACACATCCAGGAGATGAAGAAGAACGCCATCCTGCGCTTCAAAGGGTCGTACATCGAGGAGTCCGACTTTCAGGACGACGTGATGGTGTACAGGTTGTGTGCGGAGAAGGACGCCGAGGACACCAGAGAGTCACAGGAGGAGCCTGTGAGGCCCCCGGCCCAGAGCCAGACCGAGGGGCAGAGTCCCCCCACGAACAACGGCCCCCTGCCCAGCCCTCAGCCAGAGACAGACTCCGAGGAGGAGCAGCACAGGGACAACTCAGACGTGGTTCCCAATGTGTCCGCGGAGCCACCACCAGAGAAGGGACCCCCGGTGGCCCCGGAATCAAACTCAGAGGCAGCACCCCCTGTCTCCGAGGCAGAGCACGGTGCGGACCCGACGGCGGTTGACCCGGAGGGTGAAGATTTCATTGCCCAGTACGACCAGATCATTAAAGAACTGGACTCTGGCACCCAGGGCTTGATGGGGCAGAATTCCTCTTCCCAGGGTCCTGATTCCTTGCTCCTCCCAGAAGAGCAAGAGGGGAAGGAAGAGAGCAAAGGAGAGCAGGAGGAGGAGGAGGGGAAGAAGGGCCTGGAGGAGGAGGAGGAGGATGACTTTGACTCTCTGATGGCGGAAGCTCCTGCCGAAGAGACCGTGCCCTCCCCCTTTGGGGTGAGAGAGGAGGCTGACTGTGCCAGTCGCCGTCCCGTGAGGACTCAGAGCGCCCCGTTCACAGGTGACCGGCTTAGCTTGCTTTGTGATTTCTGCTTTTGAAAGCACTTGTGCATATTACACAGGAGAGTAAGGTAGGTGGGGGTGAGGGGCATTAGCCATTTACCTAACGGAGGGGCAGAAGTATTTTTATGAAGAGTGGAGAAGGGGTGGTTTCATTTTTTTTTTTGTCAGTCTTGCCATGATTGTTGTATTTTTTTCCCCCACCAGCAAGTTAGAGGTTAAGTTTTACTGTCATGCCTGTGATAGTAATAGGACTGCTGAAACCACATAAGAAATCCAGTCTCGTTATTGAATAGCCTCGTTTCCTGTAGTCTAATTTATTTTCCTCCTTAGCATTTATTTCATGTGAATTCTCTTAAAAGCACATTCCCCCCTCCCCCCCATTTGAGTGTATGCTCCACGAGGGCCCAGGTGTTAGCTTGCTCTCTGCTCTGTCCCAGCACCTGCACACTGACCAAAGCAAGGGTCCGCACCCAGAACACTTGCTGTGGACACATCAGGCCATTGGTTAGTTGGGCCTTTGCCTGGGAGCTCATTTCAGATAATCACAAAATCTTCATCCGAAAATAGGTCCAGGAGACCCACATAAACTCAGCTCTGCTACAGAGGGGGTGTCCCAGTGATACACCCTCACCACAGGTAGACTCACCGGAGAGGCAAAGCGATAGGGGAGGATATCAGGTAAGTGGGTGGGGTGAGGGATTATGGAGCAGAATGTCATTAAATATTGGCCAGTAACATCCAAACCTGCACATGGTGAGGCAGAGGGTCAGGCACAGAGGGTTCATCAAGCTCAGGGACCCCGAGGGTGTTCGGGTAGCAAGGAGAGGCCCTCAAGGAGCTGGCATCACCGCGGGACAGTGGCCTTGGAGCCGGGCCTCCCGGGGCATCCTGGCTCTGGCACTTTCAGCCACGTGACCTGGTGTCCCCGACCCGCCCTTCTCCCCCGTGAGGACTGAATGTAATACTGGGGGGTCATTATTAAGGTTGCTGGCAGCCCCAGCAGCCTCGGCTGGTCCTTCCCTGGCAAGTAGGGGCAGCATGGGGAGGAGCGACCTGCTCCCGCCTCCTCCAGTCAACCAACACAGAGGGAGTCACATCACCTTCTGGTCCAGCCAGGTAGGCTTCCTGCGGGTTCATGATCCGCCTCCAATACTTATTCTTCTATTTACTGATGCTAAATGGGGAGAAAGCTTTCAATTCCACAATTAAAAGGCTGGAGGTTCTAGTTGAGATAACATTTCAGTGTGAATGGGTTTTAATTAAAATTCAATCAGTCAGTCAATCATAAATAAAAAGGATTAAATGAGCTTAATTTTCCCAGTCGATAGGGAGGAGGAGGGGAGGGAAGGCCCCAGACCAACTGAGGAGGGGCAGAGAACTCAGTGCAAGGCAAGGGGCAGAGGGACCGCAGGATCGCAGTGTTGCCTGAAGCAGGTCCCCTTGACTCTCACCCAGCGGGAACTCCCAAGGGTTCTCCAGGACTCCAGGGCCCGGGCGAATGACCAGCCTTCCTCAGAATGCCAGCCTTCTATCAAGGAGCCTCATTCCTGGGAAATATGTAAATTGAGGAAACCGAATATAGCTTAGGGCAAAAAAAAAAAAAAGAGCTAATACAATACCGTATTAAATAACATCAATATTTTGCTTATGATACACCTGAGAGCCAACAAAACGTAGTTTTTTGACATATATAGGTCATCTTAACGCATACACAATTCAGGAAACATCTTTACTCTTCCCGCGTATGTGAACGTCGTCCTTGTGTGTTCTGCAGCATTAGGCTGAACGTCCATCTCTGCGTTGGATCCTGGTTTCCGCTGAAATGAGTTTGCCTCTCAGCAAAACCGAAGTTTCCCTTTCATTTATCTAATTGATCTTGTTAGAGACCTTTATGTGGCAGGTCCTATGCTAGGTACTAAAGACACAAAAATGAAGGAGTCTGCGGACCTTTAGAGGAGACATCAACGAAGAACTGAACTCTTTTAGTGAGAAATGCATTGTCAGTCGCTGTGTGCCAAGTCCTGTGGGGGCCCAGGGCAGGGAGCGGGGGAGGCTTCTCAGAGGAGGGCCACAGGGGGTACAGAACTGATGGCAGCTCCGTTTGTTGGAGCCAGGAAATACAGGGGGGGGAGGTCATATTGAGGCAGGGGAAGGAGCACCTGAGGACAGGGGGGTGAGTGACAGGGAAGGGCAGTAGAGATTGCCGTAGTTGTTCTGAAAAAATACGTATCTTATGGCTGCGGAGTTTATCTGTCCTTCTAGAAGAAGAGGGGGATGAACTCTGGATTGCAACCCCAATTTGAAAGCAACTTGATGGGGTTCCATCCAGAACCTCAGAAATGCCACCAGTCACTCTTCCTCAGGCGTCACCCCCATACACACCTGTGGCTTTCTGAATTGTAGCTGTTTTCTGCTTTTCAGCTGCTTACCAGTCCCCCCACCCCCGGAACTGCTTTTAAAGTGCTAGAAATCAACTAAGAATAAAACAGGAGTTTGAAAGGGTTGAATGTCTATTTCTTATTGCACATAGCTAAGAAGTTGTAACTAATGTCATTAGTGGCTCATGATGACCATCTTCTGGCTTTGACCTAATATCCTGTCATTCAGGTGAGACAGTGATGACACACTCCCAGGGTGTGATTACACTGGTTTTCTCTCTGCCCTGGCAGTAGTGTTGGACTACAGATGGTGTGCCCTGGTCACTGCATGGCCAGCCACCTTCATGTTTATGGGATGGTCAGCTGAGGCCAAGTGTAGTCGGGGATGTGCCAGGGAAACGGAGGGTTCACATTAAGGCCATGTGTGTTACCAGAGACTCTCCCCCGCTACACACGGTTTAATTCACCTGTCTGCTCCCTCCGGAAGGAAGCAGGTGCGGAGCCTGGCACTGTACAGGGGTGGGCAAGAGGGGATGTGAAAGACTGGGTCCGGGTTGAGGAGGGTGAGGACAGCAGCCTCCTGTGGATCCACCTGGAAAGCTAGAACTGCATTGTGATGCCTGAGGACACTTCTGGGGTTCTTGATGGAAGTCCATCAAGATGCTTCAAATTGGGGTTTCAGCCCAAGCATATTAATTTTCCTGAATATGTTTGGCAAACACTGCCAGGGTTGTTTTGCAAGCAAGGGCTCTCCAAAGGCTTTCTGTGTGAAGAGTCCATTGACCTTCTGGGCCATCGACTGTGGCTGAGGAGCTCAACCCCCATCCCAAGGCTGGGACGCCGGGGCTAAGTTCGGTTCACGAGGGGATGGTGCCTTCTCTGTGTTTTGAGGCCCCTTCGAGACATGCTTTGTGTTCCTGGCAGCGGAACTATTGCCCTGCTACTCGCCCGCCCGCGTAGGAAAGAGGTTTGTGTTTGGTGCGCTCATTTCTCACCACCACGGCTTCTGAACGAAGCTGCTTGTGGTGAAGTTAAACTCATATTAATGTTGGTGACGTCTTCATAAGGCACGTTTATCCATCAAAGGATATGTGCTTTGTTATAAATATGCTATGGTTTCATGGCATCATCAATAGCTCCACTGGGGGAAATACAAAATTCTCATTGATTTTGCTTAATGGACCATTTTTATGGTAAAACTAGGAAATATCTTCCGGTAATTTTATTACTGCCAGATTAATTTTCTGGATTTTTCCCCTGTCTTCAATGAACTCAAAGCATATTAATTTTCTGGTGACCCAAATTAGTCGAAGCTTCTTTTTTTCTTAATTTTCTTAGGAACTGCTTTTTAATGAAATATGGATTTCCTTTTTTTAAGGAAGCTATGACATACCAAACTGTATCTCTCCAGATGAAGTCCTTTCTCTCCCTTCCTCCCATCTGAAAATTGAAGGGTGGTTACCAAGTTGCTCAGGGCTACCTGCCTCGTTTACCTTGTCTTTCTCTCCTTGTCCTTCCGAACTGTGACATTTGACAAGACAATCTTTCTCACAGTGCTTGTTGGGGACAGACTGGCCCCGTTCACAGTGTAACTGTCTGATAAACACAGTTCATATGTGTGTGCTATTCTTTAATAGCACAAAGATTTTTTTGTTACCCAAACTTGTGGCCTCTCATGTTTGCATGAAACCCTACAACAGTGATGGCGAACCTTTTGAGCTCGGCGTGTCAGCATTTTGAAAAACCCTAACTTAACTCCAGTGCCGTGTCACATATAGAAATTTTTTGATATTTGCAACCATAGTAAAACAAAGATTTATATTTTTGATATTTATTTTATATATTTAAATGCCATTTAATAAAGAAAAATCAACCAAAAAAAAATGAGTTCGCGTGTCACCTCTGACACGCGTGTCACAGGTTCGCCATCACTGCCCTACAACATGCTGGGTCATGAGCTGAAAAACGTCATGGCTTTGAGCATAGGCAGCACTGAGTACAGAAACAGTGTGGAAAAGTATACCTTAAGTTTAAAAATTAAATTATCTGTCAAGGTCTATGATAGTTTCCCAAGTGTTAAAAGGGCTCATGGAGTCAAGATAGTAGCTCCCATGCCCATTTGCCTGCTCTCCCTTTTGGCGGTGGTTTGTTGTGTGCTTGGGTTCGAGGCAGGGGAAGACCCGGCTGCCTTTCCCGTGTCTGCATTGGACTTGCACCTGGCGGGGCTGTGGTTTGGGAGCTGTGGCCCCCGTGGCTGCCCTGTGCCCACCAGCCCTGAAGCCTGTGTCCCTCCCTCAGGTCCGTTCATCAGCGTGGTCCTGTCGAAGCTGGAGAACATGCTGGAGAACTCTTTGCACGTTAATTTGCTGCTCATCGGGATCATTACGCAGCTGGCCAGCTACCCGCAGCCACTCCTGCGCTCCTTTCTGCTCAACACCAACATGGTCTTCCAGCCAAGCGTCCGCTCTCTCTACCAGGTGCGCTAGCTGAGCCCACATCCACCCCTGTTGATTTTACGGGTGCTGATGAGCAGGGCTCCTCCCCTCCTTCCCCTGTTATTTTGTGTGTTTTTTTAAACAATTCCTCTGTTCTCATTCATTTGCTCTTCTTCCTCATCCAGTTTTGCTAGTTGTGTGTAGATTATTCTAGCAAATAGCAAAACTTCATTTAGTTTGATGTTTAGAGGGCGTCCTACCAAAACACCCTGGCGGGTCAGTTCAGAGTGAGCAAATGCCGAACGGAACAGTTCCTGCACGGAGGGCCGCCCCTGAGAGAGAGATTGACAACTGGGGCTGGAATTCCATTTGAAGCATTAACATCATTAATGACCTTTTGACAGGTCCTAGCATCTGTGAAAAACAAGATTGAACAGTTTGCTTCTATGGAGAGAGACTTCCCAGGGCTCCTCATACAAGCCCAGCAATACCTGCTCTTCCGAGTGGACATGTCCGACGTGACAGCTGAGTCGCTAACCAAAGGTGAGCCGGCTTCTCCCCTGCGTCTCTCCTTCTCCTGCTCCTCCATTTCCCCGCCTCCCCATCTGGGTTCAAAGATGCTGCATAGGCTCCTGGGCTCTAAAGCATCTAAATTGTATTTTCTTTTTTATGCAACTGCGAGGAGTTTCCTGTTAGTGTTCTTAAGCCTAAAGAAAGGTCTGCCAGCCCACACCCGGCCCATTCGCCATTTGGAGGGTCTAGCAGGCATTTGCTTCCGTAGGGAAGAAGTGATATGTAGGTTGTTGTAGGCCTGGAATACATAACTCAGTGCCTCCGGGCGGGAGGCATTCCTTGCACACCCTGAACCATATCATGGCCAGCCCTACCCTGAGGAGGGCATTGTTCTCTTCATTATGTTTTCAGAGACTCTTGGGCCCCAAATAAATGTGCTTCAGGGCTCTAGAAGGTAAAAACGATTCATTTGGACTGGGAGAAGGAAAGTTTATGCTCCGCTTAAAGTTCCCGAAGGTGACTTTTCATCAGCTCACGGGGCCTGCCTGGCAAGGTGGGCAGGGAGGGTGGTGGGTGGGTGCCCCGCAGGAGAACTGAGGTCGTCCTGCTGGCCGGCCAGCCTGGGGAGCACCGCGCTTTGCTTGGCTTAAGCTCAGCTTGGACAGATTGAATGGTCGGTTGTCCTCCAAGCTATCACTGTGGCCTGGGGGTGTGCAGACCAGGAAATGCCCCGTGTTTTCCTTGGGTCTGAAAAGCTGCAACCCAGCATTTTAAAGACTAAGACTAGTGGTGAGAGTGGGGTTCTCAGTCTTGGGCTAAAGGCTTGGGATCAGATACTGGCTCCCACAGGCAAAAATCTACCTCAGGGCAATTTTAACCCTTTAAGGGGAACTCCGAAGGCTGACCCCGCCTCTGTGCAGCTCTTTGATCTTAGTCACTGCGCCTCACCAAGGCCTCAGGTTCCTTGACTCTTAAGTGAAGAATTTGATTTCCCTCTCGACTTCCTCTGTGGCTGTAGAACTCTGGGTGTGAAGAGCCCTTAGGGCATCGCAAGGCAGATTTTGCAAGAAAGGTGGGCCTTGTGCCACTGGGCGGGGCGCTTCAGGCTTTGGCCTAGAGGACAGCAGGCAGGCCATTTGTGGAGGGAAAGGAGCCTGTGGGAAGGAGGACTGCAGGCCCATGCGGCCTCTGCTAGCCACCTGCACAGCCGGTCTGATGGCTGTGTTCCCCCTGAATGGGGAGGTGTTACCACATCTCACCCTGTGAGAGAGGGTGCGTCAGTTAGCTCCTGTGCATACCAAGCCATTGCACCAACAGTGGGTTAATAGAAAGCCATTCATGAGGACTCAGAGTCTGCATGGTCGCCTGGGCCGGGCTTGGCTGAGTTTGGCTCGTGGGCTGCTGTCTGCAGGTGGCTGGTGTCTGGGATGGCCTCAGTCACATGGGTGGCTGCTGGCTGGGCGATGGGGATGGCAGGGGTGTGTGTTTCTCCTCATCCAGCGGGTTAGCCCTGCTGGTCAAATGTCACAGCCACGGGGCTGCAGTGAGAGCAGGAACACAGAAAATCTTTTGAGGCTCTGGAATCCTGCATGCTGTTGGCCAAAGTCCCCGGGCAGCCCCGGTCCAAGAGCAGCAAACCCCCACCTCTTGATGGGAAGAGCTGCAAAAAGGTTGGCCAGTCTTTCAGTCTACCAGGCAGGAGGTGACTTCAGTTCCTTACATTACACTCCAGACTTGGTCTTCCTTTGTATTTCATAGTTTGTAAAGTGCTTTCCCAGACGGTCAATTTTTATTTTCCAACAGCACTGCGAAATGGGCAAGAAAGGTACTGCGAGGTTCATTTTCATATAAGGAAGCAGAAAGTGGGGGCCCAGGGTAGTCAGGCGGGATCATGAGGCCCAGGTGCCTGAGACTGTCTGCCTCGTTCACGGGCTGAGTGCACACACGCTGACTGACGTCAGAGGTGCGTGTTCTGGTGAAGGATGGGGTCACTCACACCTGGTGCTTTGTCCTGGCTTCAGACCAATGGCTGTGGCCACCAGATATGTGTCCAGGGGAGCTTGTTCCCACATGATGCTGTCAAATGAATCAGCTGTGGCTGATGCTTTTCCAAGTCTGTGACACTTGGGACTTTGCTTAGTGGGGCTTCTCTTGGGATCTAAGACTTTCCTTTTGTGGAGTTTCTCCACATTAACGTCTCTCAGGTTAGCCAAGTGGCAGCCTCCGCTCCACTTGAAAAAACTCAGACTCCCAGAAGGAGGAAGGCCCTGGCCCCATGCAGAGCAGACTTCTGAAGCAGGTGCTGCCTAGGAGCCGAGTCCAGGAGCGCTCTCCCTGGGCACACAACAACGTGTAATGAGGAATCTCGGGAAGAGGTCAAACACTGGGCGTCCCATGTCCGTGTCTGTGCTCCATCTGACACTGCTGACCAGTAGAGCGGTAACGATTGCTCTCCTAACTTCTGAAATCTTTCCAGGATTAGTCTTGAAAATGCTGGGTTGCAGCTTTTCAGACCCAAGTCAACGTTTCTGAAAACCACTCCTGACCCCGACATTGATCTGTGCTTCCCTTCCTCCGGCCTCTGTGCACGTGCTTTATGAGGGTGTGGTCAGGCGCCGGCAGCCAGAGCTGCTCCGTCAGGCAGGCCATGTTCCCTCAGCCTCTTGGCGGCCCCGAGAGAAAAAGAGCCTCCTCACTACCCTTTAAATAGGTTGTGTGACCACCGCTGCAGAGCCCATGGACTTCCCGTGTAGCCATCCCATTGTCGCCTTGTCTCTGAGGCTCAGCCATTTCCCAGGCTTTTTATTTCCCCCTCGAATACTTTCTAAAGCACAGGAGCCGTGTCTACTTATATTCGGAGTCCTCTCCCTGGTCTCTAGTTCTGGGAGGGAGGTGAGGTAGGTATTGGTCCCATTTCACAGAAGAGGAAACCGAGACATTATATAAGCTACTTGCCAGGGAGGGACCACACCTCTGGCAGGTGCTATTTGGTAAATAAGATGGGGTGGGAGGCTAATCAGAGAATTCCTCCCAGGGGCAGGAAACAGGAAGTGCTTTGTAAAGTCAGTGGCAGCTGAATTAATGACGACACATGGCTGACACCTATCAAGAGGCCCCTGTGTACATTATACCTATTGACTCATTTCATCCTTAAACTCTGTGAGCTTTACACAGATGAGGACATTACAGTGCAGAGAGGTAAAGAAAGTTCCCTGATGTTACTCAGCCAGCAGGTGGCACAGTCTGCTCTCCACCGCAGTACTGGAGTCTCTTAAGGCTAGTGAGAGAAGTGTGGGGGCGGGAATTCCAGGTGGGGAGCCAGTGTGGGAACAGGTCTTGGTCTGGGATTAGTGCCCAAGTGTCCCATTCCCCACAGCATCCTTCGTGAGCCTCATGGAACCCTTGGAGAGATGCAGTGCTGGGAGTTGGGGTGGGGCTGCTGAGTGGGTGTCTCCATGGTTGGTGAGAGGACCTCAGTGACATCAACTCTTTGGTCATCACTCTGATGTCAGGACACGCTGTGGGCTTCTGCTGAAGGGTACCAGCGGATTCTCTTCCAGTTCTTTACGGCACGAACTGTGATAAGCTTTAATCAAAAAGGATATTTAAAGCAGTAAAGCGAAGGATATTTTTTTTAACACTAAAGATGATAGTAGTGAGATATGGAAAGTACTATAAATGTCAAGAATTTTTAGTACTGTAGTTAAGCGACACTCTTCTCGGAGTGTTAAAAATGGGACTGGAATTCTGAAAAGCAGCCAAAATAATGAAGAGCTTGAATATAATGATTTATGAGGAGTAATGAGACTGTTTGAGTAGGGGGCAGAAGAAGGCATAAATAACTCCAATAACTATATGAAGGCTGGAGATGTTCAGGAATTAAATAGTCCCGAAAGTTGAACCATTTTAATTAGTGAAACTGCTTTGATATGAAAATTCAAATCACTTGAATATGTTCAAGGTTGGGCTCATTATCATCTGAGACCTATGTTACTGAAACTGAGATAGAAACCCCTGGAAACCTTCCTTTAAGGGAGGCTCCCAAGCCACTTGTCACCAGATGCCCACAGTTATGGGAAGTGCCCAGTCTGGTCTTCCCAGCACCCAACTTCCTCTCCATCATTTCCAACATTTCAGTGGCTTCCTTCAACCTATCCTCCACTGAAGGCTGGAGGTCCCAGACAGAAGGGGCTTGCGGGGGGGGTGGGGAGGGAGTGTCACCATGGAGCCCCAGAGGTGGGAGCACGAGCTGCAGAGCTTGCAGTGGTTGTGGCCCCACCTCCCCCTGCAGCAGTGCTGTGAGGCCCCACCTCCCCCTGCAGCAGTGCTGTGTGGCCCCGCCTCCCCCTGCAGCAGTGCTGTGAGGCCCCACCTCCCCCTACAGCAGTGCTGTGTGGCCCCGCCTCCCCCTGCAGCAGTGCTGTGAGGCCCCACCTCCCCCTGCAGCAGTGCTGTGAGGCCCCACCTCCCCCTACAGCAGTGCTGTGTGGCCCCGCCTCCCCCTGCAGCAGTGCTGTGTGCTGGGGCTTTGCCAGCACAGGTAGGGCAGTCTCCCAACATGGGAGGTTGGGAGAGCAGGTGGAGCCCCTGGATGTCCTATTACCATCATGGTGAGCTAAGTAGTCACTTGGTTGGTGCAATGGCAGGAGATGCCTTTTTCTGTCTTTTTTTTTAAAAAATATATTTTTATTGATTTCAGAGAGGAAGGAAGAGGGAGAGAGAGAGAGAGAGAAACATCAATGATGAGAGAGAATCACTGGTCGGCAGGAGATGCCTTTTTCAACCTTTCCCTTTGCCAAGTCCTTGGCATGGGGGTTCCTGATAAACCTACATTCTTGTCACTCTCTCTTATACAGGCTTTGAGATTAAAACCTAGTATCTCATGCCCTGTGCTGGAGGTCATCTGCTGGGCACGTGTGTGAGCCACCCAGTGGACTAGTGTGTGCTCAGGGCTGTCTTCAGGCTTCAGTCAGTCACAGGAACTGGACCCAACACTCCCCACCTGCCTCCTTCCCCTCAAACACACACTTGCGAGGGTGGAGGTAAAAGGCTCTGGAGGGTCCCCATGACCATCTGCTTTCTGGTTTCAGATCCCACTCAGGATGCTTCCAGGACGGGAGCTGGCAGGAGCCTTCTGGATGGTCCCCCAAGAGTGCTCCAGCCCTTCCTGACAAGCAGAGCCGCGGTGGCGGGGGTGCCGCCAAGCCTGCCCCTGCCGGTGAGGAACACCATGCTGGCCGCGGCCCTCTTCCCCGAGTTCCTGAAGGAACTGGCTGCCTTGGCCCAGGAACACTCCGTTCTCTGCTACAAGATCCTGGGGGACTTTGAGGACTCCTATTGTTAGCTTTTTTTTTTTTTAAATAGAGGTTCTTGTTTTTTAAGGTTTTAGTGTCTTGACTGAATGTTAAATGCAAAGCTGCTTACAAAGATTTCTACTTTGATGTTTCCTGACAATACTTGATTTGTGGGGAGGGGACCTTCTGGGCCCCTCCTCTCTCTCTTGCTGGGCCTTCCCACCCTGCGTCATACAGAATGTAAGTCTCATAAGCTGGCTGCTCCTTGGGCGGGTTTTCTTTGCTCAGTTTTCCTCCTCAAATATTTTGGTTGTTATTCTCTCATCCCTTTGAGTCGACTCATCTTGCAGCGTAGAGCACACCAAGCGAATATGGGGGTTCAGTGACTTCTGGAAGTACCCCTTATCAGGTCGGCTCTTCAGTGGCACGTGAAGAAAGCACACCTGTTCCTGTTGCCTTCTGCATTTTGGCTTCCGTTTCATCAAAGGGAAGAATAAAAATGGAGCCTCCATCACGTAAGCACGTATCATCTGTCCCTTTGCATTTTATGTCCAAGACTCACTTCCTGCCCAACATAGATTGCTTATGGTGCAGGCAAATCCATTGGTCTCAGCTGTCTGCTGGGAGGCTGATGCGGTTGGAGAGAATTTGGGATGCAGGGAAATGTTCTTGTTGCTGGAGAGATTATTTGGCGTGCCACCTAAACACTAGCCTTATCTTAGTCAGATTTGCACAAAATGAAATACACCTATGCAAACTGTTTCTTTGGTTTTTAGGATTTTGCTCAGAAGAAAGCATGCTATCATGTACTTACATAAGACAGCCATCATTATTTTTTGAAGTGTTTTATGAAAACCAGATTAATTTGTGAAGCTATTTCATAGCAGGGTTTTTTGTGGTTTTTTGATGTGTGTGTGTGGGGGGGAATATGGAGGGAAAAAGATAAACTAAATGCAGCCTGTAGAATCACTGCTAATTATTTAAATTTTGCTTGCTTTTCCTAATGTGTTGCACTTCGTAGAGAACCAGGAACTGTACACCTGCTTTGGGAATTGGGATGCAAATGCAAACAGGTCGCAGGGAGCCCTGCAAAGCCAAGTGCCTGCCAGTGACTCACTCCACACGGAATCACTGCCTCCTGAACAATGGGGTTCATTGGAAGACCCCAGTGTGATGTGTTAGTGCCTCTCTGCTGCTTTTCAGCTTGCTCCGAGAGGAGTAATTCTAAGTAGAGCCACAGTCTCCTTCAACCATCACCAAGAGTGGGAAACACACAAGATAATTGTGGGCTAAAAATGAGACCCTAAACAACTGGTGTTGATGGATATTCAATTCTGCTCCTCTCGATTAGGGGCAGGTGAGAAGCACCTACAAGGATGAGCCTCCTGTGTGGAGGGACGTCCGAAGCCCCAGGTCTCTCTGTGTCTGTGGTGTGACTGCTGAGCCCCAGGGTGGGGGTGGGGTGGGGAGATGACAGGGGAGGGGGGAGGCGACAGGGTATTGGGCAGCCACAGGTCTGGTGGCTGTGCCTCAGGAGCACTGGTTTGGTTTTAATCAGCCTCTCGGTCAGGAGGGGAGTGGAAGAAGCAACTGCACCTGAGGCCCTGCAGAGCAGAGGCCACCCGTTGTGGTCTAGGGACCTTGATGCAGTGGTGAACTGAGAGCGGCTTTTAGGGGCCAACCTTGCAGTGTTTCCAAGTCTAAGCAAGAAACCAAAGACACCGATTCATTGAGCATTTCCAACTTGAAATTTGTCTGGCTTGAAAAATGGTTTGCCCAGCTGTGGTACAGCAGTCAGAACCCACGAGGCCCAGCAAACTGGCCTGTAGTGGGCTTCCAGCGCCTGCTTGCATTTGCACAACCAAGTCTCCACTGGAAAAGGGAAAGAGAAAGAGAGCAGAAAGATGTAAGTTATTATCCTCTCCCTTTGTTTTGCACAAGTATTTGTCTTCCAGTTTGGACTTCCTAGGTACATAAGATGCTGAAGTCACATCTGGAAACTATTCTTTAAGCTTTCAGGCTTGGTTTACGTTTCTCTCCATTACCTGGTGGTGGTGTGGGCTCTTAATATTTATTAAATAAGTACTGAAGTAGACTTACTTTACAGGAGAGAGAGATGACCAGTGTCCGGAGTGAGAGGCAGGAAAAGAAACTCCAGTGGTTGGGTGCTGGTAGCAAATTCACATTAACCTCTCTGTTTGACATTGGAAACTGGTTCGTGTATCTGAATCCACTGCAGAGTATTGTGTCCAGGGTTTTACACCATTAATTCAGAAAACTGACCTGGAAATACATTCTGGAAAACCAGAAAACCCATTTGGTTGAGTGGAACAGCCAGGTGGGTTAGTAAGGATGATTTACAGAAGGTGTGGATGTGCCAGGGGAAAACTGAAGAACTGAGGCTGTAAGTAGAAGAGCATACCCTAGGGCAGCCGTGGGAAAACTACGGCCCGCGGGCCGGATCCGGCCCGTTTGAAATGAATAAAACTAAAAAAAAAAAAAGACCGTACCCTTTTATGTAATGATGTTTACTTTGAATTTATATTCGTTCACACAAACACTCCATCCATGCTTTTGTTCCGGCCCTCCGGTCCAGTTTAAGAACCCATTGTGGCCCTCGAGTCAAAAAGTTTGCCCACCCCTGCCCTAGGGGGTTAGAGGAATGAACATTGCCCTAAATATGAAGATACTGTGCAGGAGGTGGGGGAGGCTGGAAACTCTGGGTGGGAACAAGTCCTGATAATGAAGTAAAATATTCTAGTCACATAGAAATATTTCTGTAATAAGTTTTGGGGAAAAATTAAAGATATCTGGCATGCTCTAAAATGTGGCCCAAGAGTAGAGATACTTTTCCATGTAGACAGGCTGGCACGTCCAATGCTGCGCTACTTGCGGAAGACGTGGGCAGAGCCTTGGGGGGAGCCCTGAGGCTGGCGTCACAGTGTCTGGCCTGATGGCCCAGGCCGGCGAAGGCCAGTCAGGGGTTCCTGGAACATCAGAACATTAACCTCCACTCATATTTAGGGTCTGGGGTTCAGTTCAGATGAAGTGAGTTTTGTGGTATAAAGTATATGAGAGCAAGGAGATATTTAAAATTGATTTTTCAAAACGGCCAAGGAAATGTTCTTAAATTTTTAAACAAAGAAATTTCAAGTTGAGTTTAGCTCAAATACAATTTGGGGGGAGGGGGAAAATGATAATTTCTTAGCCAAGACGTTGTCAGCCATGATGTCAGAGTAATCAATTAGTGGTGGGATTTTCTTTATCAATGGATTCTTTCTTCTCCTGGTATTTAGAGGAATTATAAAATTGTCCCTATTTCTCTTAGTATTACAGAGGTGGGCAAAAGTAGTTTTATATTATTATACAAATAACAATAATTAATAACTGAAGAATAAACTGTTTCATGTACTCACAACTGTAAACCCACTTTTGCCCACCCTTTACTCTGGAAAATGCTTTGCTGTTTTGGGGCTGGCACTGTGTCTGTCACCTGGAGAGAGGATGTGTTCAGTGCGTCCAGGGGCCCTCAGGATGCCTCCTCCATAGCAAGTGGCTGTCATTGTGGTAACGTGGTTGTCAGGAGGGCGTCCCATTAGGAACAGTCTGGAAGCAGGGTATGCGAGTACTCCATTGCCTGTCCCATCTGGCAGCCCCTGGAGGTCTCTGCATCAGATCAGCTTGGTTGCAGTGGTGTGTGGGCTGGTTTCCAGACCCGTGTGGGGTTTGCGATGCATTCTGAACCGGACCAGTGTGTCTAGGTTGCTTTCATGAGGAAAGGGCTGCCCCCGCAGGGGTGAGGCATGTCACTGGTGTGATGTTAAATGTCCACAGCATCCCCTGCAGTTCTCATTTAAGGGCAGTTCAATGTAATTGCTAACTACCTGCCCTGTGTTTACTGAACTGGCAGGCATGCTTGCGATGCTTATGAAACAGCTTACTGTCGGAAGGCTACTACTGAATGTGCCACTTCCAGTCCGTGGCCCAGGCCAGTGTAATTCGTGGCTTTGCAGTACTGGCTCTTCCTGGAAACAGCGGTCCTCTGGTCGCTGATGCCACATCAGCTTTAAGTGCTAAGTAGATATTCTCATGCCCCTTCCTGCTGCTGCCATCATTCTATAAATCACACAACACCAATTCCCCACCAGATAACAGCTTAGAACACTGTCAAGCCAGTTTACACTCCATCCTTAAATCACATCATTGAGGAAATATTTAGAGAGAATGGAGTCGACTTTTTGTTTTTTTGTTTGAATGACCATCATAAACCTAATGCTTTTTAAAGAAAGAGCGCCTGGAAGACGAAGTGTTGTTTTCAGGATAATTTTGCCTCAGTAAATCCTCTCCACGTCCCAGCATTTATTGGGCCATTACTTGTTCTGAGGACTGATTACCCAGGCAGCTCATTAACTGGATAAACGGGCTTTAGTGAAAGAGTTTCGGTGAAGTCCTGTAGGGAGCACAGGCACGCGGTGGGAGGAAGCCTTCAGTTCTGCAGCTTCTGCACTTGGGATCTGAAATGAAGAATGATTTTAGGCAGGACTGACCCTTCCTGTCCTGTTGGGTCACTGTGAGTTTTGTTCCTGTTTTACATGTGAGCTGACCTAACTCGCTGTCACTCACAAGTAGCAAGGCTTCTCGTAGGTTCTGCCAGCACGAGTTCAGTATGTCCTTTAGGCACCTCTGGGGGCACTTAGGTTTCCTATGTCATTGCAGAGCTGACAAGAGTGATGGAAGCTCTTAGGCCAGATTATAAATTTCGTGGAGCTGAGACTGCAGAAGTCTGTGCTGTTTAGCGCATCAGCTGACTTTTCACTGGCACAAGTCTACACAAGGCCCACCTATAACTAGCCCCTTTTTGCCCTGGAGACATTTTAAAAGAGCGAATTTGGTACTGACAATGTTACTTAATTGATTTCTGCTAAGTTGTTTGACGAAGGCAGGCAGTGAGATTGGATTTTAGTCAGATGCGTTGCACTTCACAATCGGGAGTCAGCTCTCTTCTTAAACAATCCCCGGGTGCATTTGTCTCCAATCTGCTGAAGAAGCATGGCGGCCGTTTCCACGCGGCTTCTGTAATAAGTAACATGGCCTTTCAGAGAGATTTAGTGTTCTTTTCCAAAATAGTCACCATGCGGAATCCTTGAATGATGCAGCTAAATGCAACAGAAATGAAAAACACAACAAATTGTGGGTGGTGGCCATAAGCTGTACATTGAATTAACCAGCTAACTCAAAGCCCCAGGAGGATGTGTTACTTTCAAAAATTTCATGGCCTTCTTACAACCTTCTTATTGTAAAGGTTAGCAATAATTACAAAACAGATGGGCAGTGTGTGAAGCTCAGGTAACACATCCTTAACTTGGCATAAATCATGATCAACATGCTTTTTCCTGGGCTACCTGCACCTTGACAGGTAGGAACAGTTCACCGTGATGCACAGGCCTGCAGACAGGAAGCTCCTTCCTAGACGAAGAGATCCAACAAAGTGGGCACCAACTTCTCATACAAAGGGGCCCCCCAACAAATTCATTTCATTTTATAAATTCATGAACTTTTACTAAGTACTTATTCTGTGCCAGGAAGCACGGTGAGTCCTGAGGCTGACATTCCTCCCCTCCCACCATAACCAACCAAGCAACCTTCCCAAGCAGCACAACACATAGCCTGCACCTGGCCAGGCTGACCTGGGGGACAGCCTGTTTCTAGCACATTCCCCTCCCAGCTTACAGGTGTGCGGATTCCAGTGACAGATGGCAATGGCTTCACCTATGGTGCCACAGGTGAAGCCATTGCCATCTGTCATTGGAATCAGCCAACTCATACATTTTAATGAGATTTGCCCCTAAATAGCAAACAAACAGACTAAATCATACTCTTGCAAAGAAGTATTTAACATTGCATTTCTCTGATGCCTATTATGAGCTGCCTGGGTAATCAGTCCTCAGAACAAGTAATGGCCCAATAAATGCTGGGACGTGGAGAGGATTTACTGAGGCATCAGTAACGTGATTGGTAACGTGGTAACGCAGAGCCAGATCTCGTGGATTTCTTAGGGTACGTGAACATATCTTCCAAATATCTAGTCAGGTTCCAAGTAAGATATCTGAGCTGTGGTTGGATTTTTCTTTTTCTCATAAGCAGTTATAACCACATAACAGTCTGATTTTTAGGATTTCAGAACCGCAGCAACCATCAGAGTTGGACCACAGTCAGCTTGGTGAAGCTCGAGTGAGTTGACGACGGGCATGTTTCTCTGGGAATGGCCAGTCCATAATACAGCGTACACTTGACATAACAGTTTAAGCCAGCCCTTGATTTCCAATGGTTTGAAAAGCTCCTCCAGTGCATTCTGTAAAGTTTGATGACTAAGAAGCCAGACCTTTGCAAAATAATGATCCTGCCAGATTCCAACATCACACTGCCCTTGCCTGTTTGTAATTAATTCCGAGACTTGTGTGGTGAGAGAGAATGGACTTGCGTTTCTCTCTTGAAAAGAAAAGAGGCTCAGTGGTAATACTTTACTTTTAGGCCCAGTGGTTGTCAGTATTGGGACAGAATGTGGGGCACATGGCTTCCTGGGTGGTGTAACATATTCTAATTCTAAATCAGCCAGAGGGACGCTTCTCTCATTACCTAGTTAGGAATTCCTGCGTCTGTGACATTCACTGCTAAACTGGTGATGGGGGAAGGTCCACTTTTCTCCAGTCGCCACTGGAGCACCATTTATGCTGGAAATGTTTATACTTTTCTTCGTAGGCTAAAGAATTCAGTGTAAAAGTAGGGCTTCCAAAATGTTCCCTCTCTCATTTATGTCACAATTTGACATGTGCTTTTAAAAACCACCACTTACAAAACTGGTCTTTAAGCATTGTGAGTCAGAGGTAAAAAGGCAATAAACTGGATAAAGGGGCGTCCCAGTGCGATGGACAGAAATAGTATTACTGTCATGAGAACAGTGGCAAAGGCACCCGACTTCACGGAGATGCTGTTAGCGGCACCACAATTACCATTAAAGGTCAAAATTTTGATTTGTCAGTTTATAATCTTATTCTTTCCAGGCAAAACAGATCAATTTAATGTTACAACTTATTTCTCTTTTTATCTCTTTTGGCCTGAGGGGGCAGGGGAATTGTCAACTGCGCAATCTTTAAAGTGTATGTTAATTTTTAATGTGATATTTCAGTACATATTTTATTCATTAAATTTATTTGAAAACTTCTGTTGTCTATTTTACCAAAAAGAAAAAAATCCATTTATTCTCAGAGCATGGCTTCCTAGGGCGTTGAACGGGCACCACTTCTACTCAGTGGATGGGTGACTAACATTCTCCTTCCCTGCCCTCACAAAGACCAATCTAAACACACTGTCTACACTGTCAATGGATTTATCTTGCTGTCTTTCTCTTTCCTCTTCATCACCCTTGTTTTAGGTCTAAAATACTGCACCCAGATTCTGGTCTCTTTCGATCACTGCTGGCCCTTAGGATGTGCTCAGAAATATTTGTTGAAAGAACTGTGTAATGAACTTTTTCTTAGAAAGGTAACAGTATCGGAAACAGCATGTCTCATTTAGTTCAGAATTATTAAGCACTAGAATGTGCTAGTTCTTAACCACCTTTGCAGCTATGATGGAGTCGTTTTGATGTCAATGATGCAAACAGGTGAGGCTGCTGGCCTGTGGGGGTGGCACCCGAGGCCCAGGGATTGGGGGATGCCAGCACGTCGAGCTCACTCACGGACGTTGGGTTTCGAGGCTCCGGTTCTGTGTATGGCTCCACTATCTCCCTCAGGCAGAGAGACCGAAATATCTCATGATGACAGCTGCTTCTCCAGCATCTCCTTTATCACAGTCGGGTCTGCTCGGTTGAGAGTCGCTTTTCGGACCAAGCCGATCAGTTTATTTATAGCTCTGGGGTTTCCCTTCTTCAGATCCATTACCTTTCAAGAGAGAAATTGTTTTAGAGGAGAAAATATAGACCCACACCTAAAAATCCTAAATTAAGGTTTATATTTACTGAAATTTAAATTGTTTCTTTTAGTATGAGAGAAGGAAAGGGGGGTGTGAAGATCTGAGGCATTTTCTAGGCTCCTGTCGGAGATCCTGCCACTCTGTCTCCCAACTGGTAGGGACAGAGGACTGTGCTGCGTCATACTGACCAGGGTGAGGCGCCTCTCAGGGCCTCCATGGAGGTCAGCAGGCAGTGACATGCAGGTCTCCTTCTCCCCAGAAGGCTTCAACTCCTGTTTACTAGAAAATAAAACCATGGAATGGCGACTCTCCCTGAGGATGGTGGGGAAGGGGCACTGCACTGTGGTGCCAGGGCCACTGGCTCCGCCCTCCTGCTCTGCAGCGCCTGGATGGGCAATAAAGCCTGTGAGTATGTGCACTCAGTGCTGTGGAATGAGTCTGAAACTAAAAGTGTAACTTTATAGGTCACTGTGGCTAAGGCAGGAGGACAGAGGTTCCCAAGTCCCAGTGCAGGCTCATTTTCCTTGTCAAGAGCACTTTCCAGAGCTGAGTGTCCCTGGCAAGCTGATGGGTAGGTGGCTATTATTCTGAAAGAGGTACTAGTCACTTTTTCCCCCAGTGAAAAATCTCTAGACAATTTAATTAGACTTGGGGAGGGAGGGATGCTACTCATTGTAGCTTTTCTATTTTGTTCCATGCTCAGAACACAAAATGACTTGGTTTTCAGCTATGCTCCTGTTAAGGATTTGCTCCATAATTTACAAATAATTTTTTCTGCTTTTCTTTCCACCTGTTGATGGCATGAAGCTAACGTGTTTTCCACGAAGCAGGGTGGGCACAGCATGTTCAGAAGCCACATGTCTGGGAGGACCGTGTGCCCAGGACAGGAGGTCAAAACTTGGGTAGTGAGTCTGAAAACTACCCTTTCAACTGAAAGGCCATGAAATTAAACTGCAGGGTGGATCTTCCTTTTCCATGGGAAAAGCTGTATTTTTCTAATATTCACCTACTTTCATCCCTTGACCTTTAGCTCATCCCTTGAGCTAAAAACTGACATAAATACTTAGGGAATTACTGATGAAACTGGATCAGCCATTACTAGGAAGCGCCTCTGGATTGCTGTTACAGGGAGCTGTGGACAGGCTCTTGGCCTCTCCTCCAGCTGCACCTAAGATCCTCCTCACCCTGTGGGTGGTAATTACCACTTGAGGATGTTCCTCCATTGTGGCTTGGCAGAGCTGTTCCAGGGCCTCTTGATCCTGCATCAGTTCAAGCCTCTTTTCTGAAACTATCTGTGCTGGAGTCTTCCCTCCGCTCCTCCATAGCTCCTCAAACACCTGCAGTCCAGAAGCAGGGAGAGAGGGAAGAGAAGTCAGCAAGCAGATGAAATGAATTCCCAGCTGCGGGTGTGGCCCACACGGTGACCTGCCTCTCCTGACGCATCTGGGAGGAAGCTGCTCTACGGTGAATGCAGACACACCTGGGGTCTCCCCATGCTGAGCTGCTCCCTGGAAGCAGAGCAGGAGGCCACACTGCAGAGAGAGGTACTCCCCAACAGCTGACTCAGCCACCAGCAGGGAGGGGTTAGATGAGGTGTGAGATGGTTACTCACAGGCTCCTGCTGACAGGAGCAGGAGGGCCAGGCCCAGCTGTCTCCTGTCCAATGAATTAATTGAAATCAGTGTGGTGATGGATGGCGCCTCACAGGCGGCAGGAGTTAGCCACTGCTCTTAGATGAGGTTCAGAAAACCCAGCTTGCTCAGAAACATAATTTTAGGGGAGCAAGAAAGTGGCCCCATAATGAAGATACAAAATGAAAAATAACTAAAAACAGAAATAATAATCCATAGGGACCTGGCCCCAAATCTGACTAGGATGATCAATAGTTAATGTTTGTATTTTTCTACTTATCAAAGTTGAAAAAAGGAAAATATTTTTTTAAAAGGCATTTCTGGGGTTAGTTTTCCTCATTCCTCTCATTTTTCTAGTGTGAGCTGGAAGGGGTGGTGTCCCGTGTGTCTCATGCAGCACCTCCTTAATCTTGGCCTACAGTTAGCATTGAGCACTCCTAAGACCAAGGACGAACTTGGGCCAAGGATGAACCATCCCTCCCAGAAAAATAGCTGGTCAGTAATTAGCCCATAGGACTTTGGTCAAGAGGCAGAGTAGGTAACAGCTGTGCTTGCCTTCTCCCACGCCCACAAAAAAATTACAACTAAATTCTAGAACAATTATCACTGAAAACCACCTGAGGACAAGCTAAACAGAAGTCCTGTAAAGAAGAGGCTGCATTGAGAATGGCAGGAGGGGTGGAGAGGTGGAATGGGCAGGTCCCGATATCCATGGTGTGGAGATTAAGAATCAGGAAGATTATCTCCGCTACAGAGGCCCCCCTGAAGAGCAACGGGGTCTCAGCCCAGGGCACCAGTGCTGGGAAGAGAAGTCCCCACAACATCTGGCTGTGAAAAACCAGCAGGGATTGCATGGGAGTGAGACGGAAGGCTGCTGGAGACCCAGCATTCCTCTTTTGAGGGTCCATGCACAGACTTGCTTGCTTCCAAACTCACTTGCTCTGGGCTCCCAGCACAGTGGCAGCAGCTAGAAAAGCACCAGGGACATAGGGTGAGGGGTTAAACTGATTGGCTTCAGGGCTGACGGCAGCTCTCTCTGGAGACAGAAGTGCTGGCAAAAGCCACTGCTCCTTTGTTGAGCTCTTCTCCCATCCTGCCAGCCTGGTACAGGTGGGTGCCAAATCTGAGCTCTCCATCAAACTGGCTACCACCATTTCACCCTGCCCTGGTGTTATGTCCTCCCACCCAACTTGCTTGTCCGACTTGAGCCACTTCTAGTGGTTCCTCCACACAAGTGGCCTGCCTTGGCTCATGCTATGAACTTTCCTAAAATATCTCAAAGGTCCACAAACCCCAAACAAGCAGAAGCCAACCTGGCATACTCTGTACCTCTTGATAAGTGGCTCCAAGCCTGACACAAGTGATGACCAGTCTCAACTTGCATTGTAACTCCTGTCAGGTGGCCCCAAGCCTGGTATAGGCCGTGGCCAGTTTGGCTTGGAACATAGTCTCAACTAAGCAGCCACATGCCCAACACAAGTAGTGGTGGCCTCAGCTCTCACGGTGGTGCCCATCAAAGGGCTCAAGCCCAGCACAGTGGCAGCCAGGCTGGGTTGCAGCAAAGCGTCCAAGCCCAGCGCAAGCGGCCAACCACAGATCACTTTGTAGCCCCAAGCCTGGCAGAAGCATTGGCTGACCTTGGCCTGCACCAGGGCCCCTCCCAAGAGGCTCCAGAACCAACACACCCAGTGGTTGACTTCAGACCACATGAGAGCACCACCTAACCAGCTCCACAAATGACACACTTGAAAGGCTGACCTGGCTGGTACCAGAACCCTGCTAAAGCAACTTCTACTCCATGGGGTCAACGCCAAAGCAATCTTGAGAAAGAACAAAGTTGGAGGCATCACATTACCTGACTTTAGGGCTATGGTGGTCAAGGCAGTGTGGTGCTGGTATGGGGACAGATGTACGGATCGATGGGGCAGAGTGGAGAGCCCAGAGGTAAGCCCATATCTATATCGTCAACTGACCTCTAACAGGAGGCAAGGGTGTACAGTGGGGTAAAGACAGTCTCTTAGGTGGATGGTGTGTTGAGAAAGCTGGACAGATACTTATCAGGGAAGTGAGACTGGACCACATTCTTACTCTATATACAGGAGTGAACTCAGAATGGACTGGGACTTAGGTGTAAGATCTGAGACCATGGAGCTCCTGGAGGAAAACACAGGCAGTAAATCCTTTGACATTACTCTTAGCAATATTTGTTTAGATATGTCTTCTCAGGCAAGGGAAACAAAAGGAAAGAAAAACAAATGGGACTACATAAACTAAAAAGTTTTTGTGTAGAAGGAAGCCATCAACAGAACAAGGGGACAAGCTACTGAATAATAAAAGACATTTGCCAACTCATAGACACAGACAACAGTATAGTGATTACCAGAGGGAAGGGGGGGATAAATGGTGATGGAAGGAGACTTGACTTAGGGTGATGAACATACAATATACAGATGATGTATTATAGAACTGTGCACCTGAAATCTATACAATTTTATTAACCAACTCGAGGCCTGGTGCATGAAATTCGTGCACGGGTATGGTCCCTAGGCCTGGCCGGCGATCAGGGCTGATTGGGGCCTTCCGGCTGCTGGCCAGGGCCTCCTTTTGTTCCATGCCATCCCCTGGTGGTCAGTGCACATAATAGCAAGTGATCGGTCTCCCGGTTGAACTCCTGGGGGGACAGTTTGCATATCAACCTTTTATATATATAGACTAGAGGCTGGATGCATGAAATTTGTGCAGGGGGGGGGGGGGAGTCCCTCAGCCCGGCCTGCACCCTCTCGCAATCCAGGACCCTTTGGGGGATGTCCGAACCAGCAGTCAGACATCCCTCTCGCAATCCGGGACCGCTGGCTCCTAACTGCTGGCCTGCCTGCTGGCCTGATCACCCCTAACTGCTCAACTGCCTCATTGCCCCTAACCACTTGCCTGCCTGATCATCCCTAACTGATCACCTGCCTGCCTGATCGCCCCTAACCACTCTGCCTGCCTGATCACCACTAACTGCCTCTGCCTCAGCCCCTGCCGCCATGGCTTCATCCAGAATGACACCCGTAAGGTCGTTTGGCTGTCCAGTCTAATTAGCATATTACCCTTTTATTATAGATGTCACCCCAATAAATCCAATGAAAACCATTGTTTCTAATTATAAAAGTTAATACACAATCACTGTAGAAAATAAGGGAAAATAGAAAAGATAAAAAGAAATCACCTGTATTCCCATTCCCTCAGGATAAACAAGGTTAGTATTTTGGAGTTTTCCCTTCCCATTTTTGTCTTTCTGTTTTGTAACATAATTGTGACCATAATGTATATACAATTTGTGGCCTATTTTTGTTTCATTTATTGCAGAAGTGCTTCCTTATAATTAATGAAAAGCTAATATCCATCAAATATATTTATCATAATTATCCCCTACTGGTAGGTACAGACTTTGACCAGTGTTTATTTTGTCCATCACAATAGTCTCCTAAAAGAAGTTCTCAGTTAAAATTGTCCAACATTCAGGAAAAAAAGAGTGAAGATCTCAAGAGACTCCAGATCTCTGGCTCAAAGCAAAAATCACCTGTGAGGACTCTTATAAAGAATCTATGCAGCAACCCTTCTAGGAAAGGAGGCGGGGAAACTCATGGCTTTGCGGCAGGCACACCTGCCAGTCTCAGGGGCCACGCAGATCTGAGCAAGTCGACCAGGTTGTCAGCCTAGGCCTGGCACCTCACACGGCTGGGACCGACAGGCTCAAACACTGGTAGGATTTGCTTGAGCCCAAATCACCAGAATAGAGGCAATGTGGAGCAGCTCGGGGATCATTGCCAAACCGCACCATTCAGAGGAAAAGCAGGACAACACAAGGACTGATGCTTTCAAATACAGAGACTGGCTGCTCCCTGAGAAAGAAGGGTGAGGTGGGGTACAAAGGAGGGACACGAGAGAAACACATTTCAGGGGCCTCCAAGAACCAAGGGGAGCCTGGTGGCTGGAGTGTCTCTACTCATGGAGTTAGAACACATCAGCTTATTAACTTCCCTCGTTAGTCAGTGGCCATTGTAGCCCGCTCCAGCCCCCTGGGCTGACACTGTAGACTCCACTGGTCCAAACCTCTGCTCATTCCTATTTAAGACAGAATGTGCACTCCTTGCTGGAACCTAGCAGGGTGGGAGCCACCGAAGGGCCACAGGCTTCCTCCCCTGGCCCTCTTGCAGCAAATGTAATGGCCTCTGTAGTTGCCAGCCTCATGGTGCAGCATAAATCCTCAGCTTTTGTCTGTGTTTAATTACTGCCCTGGGAAGTGCTATCAAAGTGCAATGTTTTTTGGCCAGGCATGCAGCTGCTGCCCACTCAAGACACACATACAGAACAAGGAATTCCCAGTGCCATACTGGTCCTCTGTACTAATAAATGCCCACCAAAATATTGGGTAATACAAACTGGGAATCCCAATCGCACCACGACCACTGAGCCAGCTCTGAAATGGGGACAGAAACTCAGCCTTCAGTTCCCTGGTGACTGAATTCACACATCCTCTTACCTACTACCCAAGTGTTTCTCTAGCTAAAGTTTGTTTTAAGGTATCTGGAAGGAAAGCAGGCAGGCCCTTCACCTATCCTGGGGGCTTCCAGGGTCAGAAAGTGGAGGAAAGACCTATTGAGGGGAGGTGTCAGGGGGCTGTGACAGGTACAGTGAGGGGCATCCCCTCTGGTCAGAGGCAAGTATTGTGAAAGATCATCCTTCTAAAAGGAACAAACATCAGCACAAACCCTAAGAAAAGCAGGGCATAGAAAAATGTGGAAAGAACCAAAATACTAAAAGGAGGTAAAAAACATAAAATCATTTGTATGCATGACATGTAACACTATCTAGCACAAAGGTTTTTGTTGATTTTTGTTTAAAGTAGACACAAGGAAATGACAAAATGAAGGTTAACAATCTTGATAATCTCAATAGACATGAAAAGCACTTGACAAGATACAACATCCATTTGTGACAAAACTCTCAAAATGGGTTTAGAAGGAAAGTACCGCAACACAACACAATATAGGCCACATGACAACAGCTAACAACTGAACACTTTCCCTCTAGGATCAGGAACAAGACAAGGATGCCCACTCTTGCCACTTCTATTCACATAGTACTGGAAGTCCTCGCCAGAGCAGTTAGGCAAGAAAAAACAAAAGGGATCCAAACTGGGGAAAAAGTAAAAGTATCATTATTTGTGGATGACATGATTTTATATGTGGATAACCCTAAAGACTATCAGAAAACTATTAGAAGTAATAAACTCAGTAAAGTTGCAGGATACAAAATCAATATGCAAAAATGTGTTGCATTTCTCTCTACTAACAACGAACTATCAGAAAGAGAAATGAGGAAAAAATCCCATTTACCATCACTACAAAAAGAATAAGATACCTAGGAATAAGCTTAACCAAGGATGTGGAAGACCTATACACTGAAAACTGCAATACAATTCTGAAAGAAATGAAGAAAACAAAGGAAATGGAAAGATATTCCGTGTTCAAGGACTAGAAAAATTAACATTGTTAAAATGTCCATGTTACCTAAAGGAATCTACAGAGTCAATTTAATCCTTATCCAAATCCCAATAGCATTTTTCACAGAAATAGAACAAAAAATCCTGAAATTTGTATGGTATCACAAAGGACTCTAATAGCCAAAGCAATCCTAAGAAAAAAAGAACAAAACCAGAGACATCACATTCCCCAATTTCAAACTATATTATAAAGCTATAGAAATAAAAAAAAAGTTTAGGTAATACAGGAAAATATAGAGATTTTCAAATTCTAGCACCTTGAAATAACTACCATTAATACTGGATGAATACCATTCCCATGCATATATACCAGAAGGATGGATTCTTCATAAAAAACAAATATTTTTTTTCACCAGAAATTCAGAAAACAAGTAAAATAAAGCAAACCCACCAAGGCAATGATAAATAAGGAGGATTTCCTTATGCAGCACACAATTCACACCTTTCTAATCAGACTTTCGTTTCACTTTGCCTCCCAGAAGCCAGGATTCACCCCACCTCCCTTTTCACATGCTTCAAGTTTATTGAGAATCCAAAAGTGTCTCTATATCTGAACCCAGCTGTTAGCACCTTCCAGCATTTTCCTCGTCTTCCCACTGAGCCTATCATATTCACTGCTCTGGGTTTGTTTGTTTTGTTTCCTTTTCTTGTGTGTGTGGGGCAAGATGAGCGGAAAGGGGAAGATTTTGCCTGTCATTTCAAATGCTACAATTCATCTGCTCTTTAATGCACATACATATATTTTCTGTCCTCCAGCCATCTTATCTTTCTGCTCTAGCTGAGCATTGCCATAAACATTTGTATTCCTCTGACATCCCAGCAACCACAATCCTTTCCTGAAGGTGGCCAGGGCCCTGCAGTGTCAGCCTCACTTGGTGGGGAAACTGCCTTTATCAGTTCCTGTCTCCAGATTCACCCCGAATGGGCAGATGCATGCTTCCTGGTGCCTCCTAATTAGCCAAAAGCAGACACTTTCCAATGCCTCACTTTGTAATCTGCCACTACTGTTGATGTGTATAACTATTAAATGCAAAAGGCACCATTAAAATAACATTAGTTTCTGGCTGTCTCATCGACAGCTTCAGATATCTGAAGTGGAGATCAGGTGGCTGCCTTGGTGTTCTTGATCTTTCTGGGTACTTATTTGAGTTTTCAGAATTCCAGGAATCTTTCACTCACTTAAAATTGTTAGACGGAGGCGGAGATGAGGCACCAGGCATAGGTGGCCTATGATAATGATGCTATTGTTCCGTGTTTTCACACACTCTGGGCATGTGTGTAAAATTTTCTCTGAGCGTGAGGCAGTCTGTCTGACCTCACCCTCCTTGCTGAATGACTGACTTCCAAGGGCAACCATATGACAAAGAAAAATGAGTCCCCGGTCCTGGGCTGGGAGGCTGTAGAGGCTGAGAGGGAGCACCAGAGGCTGCCGGAGCCTCCCACAGCCGAGGGCAAGTTCCACAGTCAGAAGCCCCCAGGAACTTCAGGGCCCCAGCCTTTTCTATAAGCAAAAGTTTGGGAAACATTCCAGGCAAGTCAAACAATAAGTATTCCCCCTGGTTAGCAAAGATGAGAACCAAATCACCTGCCTAGCTCAGACTGGCTTTATTTTATTTGCTAAATAAAATATTTCTACCTTTCAGCATATAAATAGCACTTACAAGCATTTACTACTTCAACTATGAAATTCACTGAGTGATGGCAGAAAACTTCTGCTGGGACAGCAGAGCAGGGAGAAGCTTTAGGAAGTGGGGACATACCTTTTTAGCTGCTGCTGAAGAAATTGCTTTCTGGTCCAGTAGGTTGAGAAGCTCGGCCAGTGCAGAAGGTGTGACAGGACTAGCAGCCCCCAAAAGGAGAGAAAAGAAATGCACATTTCATGTCAGCATATCCATTTACTGTTACTCATAATTGCAAGACTTGATTTTATAGGTTTAAATAATTAACCTCCCACCCAGGAAGGAAAACAACACGCCATTTGGGCTTTATTTTATTTATTTTGTATTTTAAGATATAACAAATTTTTGTGACTAGTGTTGTTTTTCTTTGTTTTACCACCCAACAATAACAGCTGCTTGGCAGAAGTTGTAGCAATAGACAATTGCTCAGTTTAATTAGTCAAAGAAAGGAGGTGGCTGCAAAATTCATGAACCATGATCAGGAAAGAAAAAACAACAACAATCCCAGTAATTAAGTATTTTCAACAGAAAGATCAGCCTAAAATTACTTCAAACAAAACAGCTAACAAAGCCACATTTTGAGAGTTTCTGTGGAAATATAAATTATTTTTTATTATGAGAGCTTTTCTTTAAGGGAACGCAATGACTACCCACCACTTCTTTATCCATCCTCACGGGCATCTTCATAAACTGTTCTCTCCTGAAGGCTCACAACAGCTTTCTGGACACACAGGGCTTAGAATTCATTATCTATACTTCTAGGACATGACTTATTTACCAAGATGCTGTGATACAAAAGGCCAAGGACCAAACAAACACATAAAGTGTCATTAATTCACACTTAGGGGTAGGAGTTGGGGTGAGGGGGTATGAGTGCCTAGATTACTGAAAAAACAAAACTGAATTACAGATTTCTTTTAAAATATATGGTTTTGCTACTTCCAAACACATACAGTAACTAGGCCAGTGGTCGGCAAACTGAGGCTCTCGAGCCAAATGCGGCTCTTTGGCCCCTTGAGTGTGGCTCTTCCACAAAATACCACGTGCGGGCGCACATGTACAGAGCAATTGAAACTTTGTGGCCCATGCGCAGAAGTCGGTATTTTGTGGAAGAGCCACACTCAAGGGGCCAAAGAGCCGCATGTGGCTCTCGAGCCGCAGTTTGCCGACCACTGAACTAGGCTAATTAAACCCGTCTATCTGAGGTCATCAGGGACTAGTTTTAAATGGGTGGGACAGCTTATAAACAGCATGGTAGCCTGTGGGGGTAAATGAAAGCTTCTGAACGCCACTTGAAAACATCTTCTGTTTGAGTCTCGGTTGCCATCATTCGCTATTAATTTCTTTGTAAGCTCTTAGATAATAAAAAGAAAACTGCCATTTAGCCTCTGCCAATTTCCATGAATTTCAGACCAAGCAAGTTAACCTGGTGTGCCTTACTGTGCAGTCTGATGCAAGTACAGTGAAACCTCATTAGGATTGTTCACTGAAAGCAGCTAACACATGGAGGCAGACATCGGCCTTCAAGTGTTTGTTTATCCCAAAGTACATATGGATAAAGGTGACTCCTGTGGAAATTAGGTTTGGAGAGTGCCTGATGTTATTAGTTGGCATCTGGAACATCTGTGAAGCCCCCTGATTAAATCTCAACAGGAAGAGGGGCAGAGGACTGGGAAATAAGCTTTTGCCAACCTCCCACCCTTACTGACTGGTCATTCAGAATCGGTTTCTGTGATGCTCTGCAATCCTAGAAAATACAACAGCCAATTAGACTGTGCAGAACCACAATCAGCACCGAGGTGGAACTGGATTTCTAGAACAGTGGTCGCCAACCTTCCGGACCTCACAGACCACCAGTGGTCTGCGGACCACCGGTTGGCAACCGCTATTCTAGAGCATGCAAAAAAACACACACAAAAAATACAGGGTCTCTACTCCCATATGAGTCCAGGATATAAGGGATGCTGGGACAGAGAAGGACAGAAACAGGACACAACTAAAAATACTTTGCCTTTCACCTAATGACCTTAATTCATAATGTAGGTGATAAATTTATACTATAAAACACCTCCACTGACCTAATAGCACTTTGGATTTCTCAATCATCTTTTTACACCCACAATGCTTGACACATAGTAGGTCAATAATATGTGTGTCACAGAATTCTTCCCCACAACGGGGGTATCTGGTATACTGTGTATACCAATTCCAGATACACCAGGGCTAACCTCGAGTAAGAGGATGACAAAGATCAGTTCCTGTCTCACCCTTAAGGACCCCACTCACCAGATAAATAAATATACCATCAATATGGAACATAATGGCAACAGAAGCACAACTACTAACTTGCTGCTGTCAGATAATACCAGTTTCTGGACAGTAAACACATCTCAGGCAAGAATTAGCTGACACTGAAGGCTTAAGCTTTCTGTGCTTGCTTCCAATCCCCCAAGGCCAAAGTATCTACAGAGCCGGGGAGATGGGGTATGTCACCTCTCCCAACTTCATCCAGAACTTTGGAGCTCTTTTAGGATCACAACTCCATCACCAGCTTGTGGCAATAGATACCTGACACCTCTCAACCATGATCTGGCCAAGATGTACTTGAGGAATGTGCTGACCATCTCAATTCCAAAGCTCATTTTAGGCCCAAAGTCCACCTTCTGCAGATGCAAGAGCTCCTGGAGGAAGACATGGGACTTGGACATCCAGGGGCTCTTGCTGCTCAATAGTCCTTTTATCTAACTTCATAGCAACCGGACTGTTCTCACAGTCTCCTTCCCAAACCCCTCTTGGCAAAGACCCTCCCCTCCCACTTCATAAGGACATCAGCTGATGCAAGATTCAGAATTTTCAAGGGAGCCCTCCTCCTATTTCATCAAACAACCCCCTCGGCCCATACTCTTCACCCCATCCCCCTCCATTCCTAAGATTCAGACTCACTCAGACACCTACTTCCTCTCTCTTGTGCTTTAATGCTGAGATCTTCCCTATCATGAAAATGCCTTTTGCCTGGCCAGTGAGGCTCAGTGGTTGAGCGCTGACCCATGAACCAGGAGGTCATGGTTCAATTCCTGGTCAGGGCACATGCCCAGGTTGTGGGCTCAGAGCCCCAGTAGGGGGCACGTAGCAGGCAGCCATTCAATGATTCTCTCTCATTATTGATGTTTCTATCTCTCTCCCTATCCCTTCCTCTCTGAAATCAATAATATATATATATATATTTTTTTTTTTAAAGTAATAACCAGTCCTAGCTCACAGGCTATAAAATCAGGCCTGCCACATGACCTCTCATGGGCTCCCAACCTCCACAGCCCCATTATTAATGCCATCCACATATCATGCTGCTGGACTAATCTTCCCGTCACGATCAGTCCCTTCTCGGCCCGAAACATTCCCTGGTTCCTTAGAGCCTTAGGAACTACTGCCATAGTTGGCCTGGGAGTTCGGGTACTCCACTGGGCTGGACAACTGGGCTTTCCCAAGAAATGCTTGCTCAGGGAATATGTCATTTCCACTTTCTTAATGAAATCCAACCTGTTATTAACAGTAATTTAGAATTAGATGTTAACAACTTTAAAAGTAATATGCCCGAAGTAATTAAAAAGCCATGTTTAAAAAGAGCTTTTCTGGTTGGATCCTTTAAATGCCAGGGGCCTTAGATATCCTCTAAGAACTCTGAGAGGTCTACAAAGATGGATGCTAATTTATAAAATCTGTCCCTGCCGCCTTATCTCTAGAGTGTTCTTTGCAGGTGTCATCATGGGACTATTGTGAGCTTAGCAGTACTGCTGTTCTAAGTGTTGGGAACGTTCACCCTAGTGGCTAAGGCTGTTCATTAGTGTTTGTCCCAAGGGCCGACTGGCAAACCAGACCAGCTAGCAGGTCTTTGGAAGGTATAGGAAGAGAGCTGTTCCAGCTGGGTCTGGGCTCCTCAGTGCTTGTTTTCATACAAAATAAAACAGAATTGTTGTTTAGCTTCCTCTTTACCTGATTTTAGAACAACCAAATACAGTCGACCCTTGAACAATGCCAGGTTTAGGGCGCCGATTGCAAGTGCATCTAAAATCCACTTAACTAATAACCCAACTTCCCCAAACTTAACTAATAGCCTATTGTTGAGTGGAAGCTTTATCAATAACATGAACAGTCAATTAGCACATATTTTGTATGTTATACATCTTCTTATAATAAAGTAAGCTAAACAGTATATTAAGAAAATCATAAGGAAAAGAAAATACATTTACAGTATTTATTGAAAAAAATCTACGTGTATAACTGGACCAACACAGTTCAAACCTGGGTTGTTCAAGGGTCAACTGTATACTTTTATTATTTCTAATTGGGTACCCTTTCAGTTCTTAAAACTCTAGTGCTTATGAATTGTTTGGATAAATACCAGGAGCTCCAACTTCACTAAACAGGCTCATTTATCAACCTCAGTTCCTTTTGAAGCTACCAACACATTAAGCAAACCCCTAATTTCACAGACCAACATAAAAAGAAACTGACCTGAAAGTCAGGGGATGTGGCTTCCAGTCTTAGCAGGTTGCAACATAACCTTATGGATTGCAGTGATGGCGAACCTTTTGAGCTCGGCGTGTCAGCATTTTGAAAAACCCTAACTTAACTCTGGTGTCATGTCACATACAGAAATTTTTTGATATTTGCAACCATAGTAAAACAAAGACTTACATTTTTGATATTTATTTTATATATTTAAATGCCATTTAACAAAGAAAAATCAACCCAAAAAATGAGTTCGCGTGTCACCTCTGACACGCGTGTCATAGGTTCGCCATCACTGGATTAGGGCCTCCATTTCCCCATGTGCTAAATGAAGGAGCCAGACCAGAGGATATCTAAGGTCTCTACCAGGACTAAAATTCAGGGAGCACAGCCAACAATATTGAAACCATAAATTCACAGCTAAATTTGCATTTTCTCCAAAAGCTCACACCACATCTTGCAGCTCTTCTGGCGTCCCCTGGCTGACACCATCTCCCTCCTTTCTGCTCCCACTGCACTGTGCAGAGGTCTAAAATAGGAAGCACCCCATTCTGCTTTAAACTAGGGCCTGGATGGGGTCCTGTTTCTCTCTCCACACACTGCAGAGATCCATGTGAGTTACATATTCTGATTCTGCTCCAATGATACAGTTAACTGTACTTTTCTGACATTTTCCACCCTCTGCTCCTACCAGCTATGCTCCTCCCTGGTCCAAAAACATGCCAGTTTGTTTCCATTTCCACACCTTGGCTCCCCACTGGTGTCATGCAGCCCCTCTCCCTCACCAAATCCTGTCCATCCTTTAAGGCAGGGGTGGGGAATGTCCAGCCCACGGGCCGTATAAGGCCCTGTGATATCATTTGGTCTGGCCCTGCCCAGGCAGCAGCAGGCGGGAGTCGAAATTCAATAAACCTAGGAGCTTTTTTCATAGCAGCATACATTTATATTAAGTAAATTATATTAAGAGAATGATGTTATAAATAGCCAAATAGCCCTTGGCAGAAGAAAAGGTTCCTCACCCCTGTTTTAAGACAAAAAGGCAACAGATGGATAGGTGTGGAGGAGACTGAGGGTGGCCATTGCTTTGGCACCTAATACACCTAGATGGCAAAGAGAAGGGAGCTAACACTGAGGGCCCGTTCTGTGCCAGGCACTGTGCACTTTCCTCTCAAAACTCTTGGAGGCAGGTATGGTCTTTTTCTTTTACAGAGAGGAAACAGGGTCAGAGGGGGGAGCGCCTTCAGCGTCACTGCTGACAAGTAGCTCCGGAGGGAAGTGCACTGACCCCACATTAATACATGCATATACACATGTGAGCAAGAGGCTGGACCTCAAGTTGGCATTGTAGAGAGTTCACGCCTTTGAGCAAACAACTTTTGGAACTGTATACCAATATATATGCCCATCTTTCCACTGTATTTCTCCACAGCAATGGATACTGAGACAATGACACACCCACCAAGACCGGGCTCCACTGGGGCTGGGAACTTGCCAGGGTCCTGCCATCTGCCTCTGTGTCCCTAATGAACTCTCTCTCCCCGACTCTTCACATTTAAACCTGCTGCTCATTCTTTCCTTCTTGAAACTCCTTTTTTGGGGCATCTGTGACACCAGCTCTCCCTGGCTTTTCTCCTTCTTTGCTGCCCATGCTTCTCAGTTCAAGTCCAGAGTCTTAGGCTCATCGGCCACCTCCCTGACAGTTCTCATCTGTCCCCACAACTGCATGTACCTTCTCTATGCTGCCCAGTCCACGTTCCACTTACACCTGACTATGTATTTGCATTTCTACAAGTGCCATGCTCAGACTTATTCAAGACTTTTCCACATGTTGCTCCCTGTGCCTGAATACTTTTACCACTGGACTTTGCCTGACTAGCCCTACTCATCCTCCCTCAGGTCTTGGCTTAGCTGTTAGTTTCCCTTCTCAGAGCATCTAACTCACTGCTTTGTAATCACCAGCTTCTGGCCCATCAGCTCTGAAAGCAGGGACTGCGTCTGTCGTGCTGACTAGTCTTCCCAGGCTTACCAGAGTCTAAGTTAACATGTGCTGAACAGTGAATGCATGAGAATGCTCAGATTTTACCTCCCATATACCTGTCAGCAGCAGATCCATATGTCTGACTGCCTGCTGGTTATCCCCATGAGGCAGATGTCTGTCCTTCACCAGGTTAGGGAAGTTTTCAGTCATTATTTCTTTAAATAGATTCTTGATCCCTTGCTCTCTCTCTTCTCATTTTGGTACCCCTATTAATGCAGATGTAGTTACACTCCATGTTGTCCCAAAGGTCCCTTAAGCTATCCTCATTTTTTAAAGTTATTTTATCCTTTTGCTGACTTGATAGGATGTTTTCCTCTACTGTGTCTTCCAAATAACCGATTCAGTCCTCTGCTTCATTCAACCTGTTTATTCCTTCTATTGTATTCTTCATTTCTGACTTGTTTTTTATAATGGTTTCTATGTCCTTTTTCATGTTGTTGTATTTCTCACTAAGTTCCTTGAGCAGCCTTATAATCTTTTTAAAAAAATTCTATACCTGAAAAATTGTTTGCTTCCATTTCATTTAGCTTGTTTTTCTGGAGATTTATCCTATTCTTTCATTTGGGGCATGTTTATTTTCTCCTCATTTTGGCTGACTCTGTTTCTCTATGGTAGGTAGAATCTGCTATGACTCCCACTCTTGGTAGGATAGATATAAGTAGTAGGTGTCCTGTGGGACCCCAGTGGCACAATCTCCTTGATCACCTCAACTGGGTGCTCCAGGAATGTCCCTTGAATGTTTTATGTGGGTCCGGCTGTTGTAATTGAGTCTTTGATGGCTATGGCCCATGCGTTGGGTCAACCCTCAGGCTGGCTGACAGTGAGGATTGACCTGTATCAGTGTCTGAGCTGTTGTGCAGGTGCTGACCACAGGAAGCAGAATTCACCTTAGCGTCTAGTGCCTGCTGAGAACTCCCTTGGATATGCCGCTTGTGAAGCTTGTTGGATCCCGCTCTGATGCTGTCTTAAGCTAGCCACTGGGTATACTGTTCTGGGGCCTCTTGGGAGGGACTGTGGTGCAGGCCAATGTCAGACGTTGCTGTGACTGACCATGGGCAACAGATTGGAACTACAAAGCGATCCACAATTTGTGGCTGCCTCTGCCGGGCCTGGGTATGTGTGGGAAGGATCAAGCTGTGAAAAGACCGGCTTTTACCAGCACCAGGCCCAGGGGTAGGTCAGCAAAAGTCCCATTGTACCCTAAGATCCACCTCAATCTGCCTCCATCTGCTGGCTGCTTGTCAGGCTCAGTTACTGAAATAGCCTCTGGCGGTACTCAAGGTGCATGAGGTAGGTTCTCAGCAAGTCATCAAGTAGGGGTAAGTGGTATTCACCAGACTGAGGTTCAAACTCGGTGTCAGTAATGGGTTTGAGGCCACTCAGGAAAGGTCCCTAGGTATACCAAGTTAAGTGTGCCACCTACTGGGTGCTCGCACATCTTTGTAGTGGGTGGGGTCTCAGGAAATCATCAGGGTAAGGCCAGCAGAGTTTATCAGTCCCATGACTCAGCCATGTGAAGGGAGGGCTCCCCATTGGTCGAGGGAAGAGTCCCTTGTCCTAGAACTACACGGCTCAGTTTGTCCAGATTCTGCCAAGAGCCCGACTCAGCAGGGTGGGGCTGCTGGGAGTTGGAAGGATGGGGCTAGTGTATCTCTCATGAGGGGAAGGTTGCTGATCAAGCTTGGGGGATTCTGTAAGGAGGGGAGTGTTCCACCTAAGAAAGATGGTGTCTGTGGTGTGGGAGAATAACTCAGCAGAGGGATCCTAGAGGCTGTTCCTTCACATAACTCTAGTCCGCTCCGCCCTCCCTCTTATGGAGCCCAAGGTGAGTGGCTGCAAATGAGATTTTTGTGCATTGGCTCTTTAAGAGAGCACTTGTGTCTCTAGCAGACTGCTGTATCTCCCCAGCGGACAAAATCCCGGCTGATTTTCACAGCCAGTATTATGTGGGTGCCTCTTCCTGGCTTTGGAGCCTGGCCTGCGGTTGAGACCCCATGCTTCTCAGTGGGAACTTCTGCAGCTGAGATATCCCTCCAGAATCTCAGCCACTGCCTGTGGGAGCGGGGCCAGCTCTTTTCACATCTCTGCTCTTCCTACCAGTCTCGATGTGGCTTCTTCTGTAAATCCTTGGCTATAAGACTTCTCTTCAGCTAGTCTTCAGTTGGTTATTCTGGCTGACTATTCTATATTTTAGTTGTAATTCAGTTTGGTCCAGGGAGGAGGTGAGTGTAGCATCCACCTACTCTGCCACCATCTTGATCTCCCACTGTCTGTCTTCTTATAGTTCTGTAGCCCCTCAACCTTGCAAACTCCTTGTTCTATTCATCCACAGTACAGAGGACATTTTGGACAGTCAGAGTTTTCATAAGAAAAGCTTTAGAATTTGGAATTCCCAGGGGATGTTTGTGTCTTGTCAGGAGATACTGAGGGGAACAGGAAGAGTAAAACACTGGTCCTGCCCTATTTCAACTGTTCCTGGACAAAGAGTTCATCTCAAAACAAGAAGAAATCCCTAGACCCCACTCACCTCTCACTGACAGCAAGGTTCTGTTGCTTTAAAAAACCCAGGAAAGTGTTGAGGACCCAACTAGTCACTTTTTTGGGCTCTGCCCTAGTTTCTTTCATCACATTTTGGAAGAACTCCAGTAGGCCAACTTCATTCTGTAAAGAAAAAAAAAATGTATAAAACCTCCCAAAAAGTGAAAGATCAGCATTCTGAAGACAAATCAAACTGCCACCCTCTGCCTCCTCTGAGACAATTTCCTAAATATGGAGATGTCACCAGAAAATCCTGATCACTTTCAGTAAATAGCAAGTATTCTGCTACTGTCACCATGCATTTATATAGCACTTCCTTGAAGGAATGAACATATTTCACAGCCCTCACTTTATGGACCAGAGGACAGTGAAATCCCCCACCCCCCAAACTTGCTTGCCCTCACAATGTCAGCCTGTGTACTCTGTATCCTTGATCCTTGGGCCCAAAATGTTCAGCCTGAGTTTACTGTCGTGTCTTTTTCCAGTCCTTTCCTCTGCTGGAAGTCCTAGTGATTGCTAGAATAACAAGGTAAGAAAAGCAAATCAAGAAGAAACAAACAGAATATTCTACTTCTGAGAAACCAAAAGTGGATTGTAACTGTATCCATCTTTACATCATCCCAAGAGGTGGCAGAGTGGTTTTCAGAATGAGGAAGGACACAGGTACATGTGACCCACTTAGACCACATAACCAATGGAGGGAACAGCAGCTTCTACGTCTTCTGAACCAAGCAAGCTAGGCTCAGCTGGCCCTGCCTGTCATCCTGCTCCGAGAAAGCAATAAGCTGGGTTGACTCAACAAGGAGTCTTATTTGAAGAAGACTCTACTGTCTCTCCCCCCGTCCCCACCCCCGCCCGGACCGTCAACTCCATGAGTCAGGGGCCATGCTGTCCTGTTCATTCTGTAACTAGAGCTAAGTCAGTGCTGGGCCATGGCAGCAACTTGGTAAGTATTGGTGGATGGAATCAATGTCTCCCATCACCATGTGTATTTTTTCAAAATCAGATGTGAACATTCACACATTCATTCTTTAGCATACCATGTTTACTTTTAAATATCAGAATTGCCACCAGTATGCATAGAATAATCCCAAGGCACATATCAAGTTATGCACCATAGCTAACTTCCAGCTCAGATCAATTTGGCAGGACCAGGAAACCTGGCTAAGTCCACCCCTTGTTTTTAGTAAGAAAAATAAAAACATATCCCACTTGCACAGGGGAAGCTGACGTTTCCAAATGCAGAGGAGACACATTTTAAGTACTAGATTTCCCCAACCTGCTGAAATTCAAATCAAACCACTCTTTCCTTGAAATATAGCTTTTCAGCTTCATACTACAGGTAAGTCTCTCACCCTCACCTCTTTCACAGAACCTTCATTAAACAAATGAACTTTCTGGAAAAAATTAGATACTAGGAAGAAGCAAGACATAGTAACAAAAGTGCTCTAGAAATTTAGTTATTGCAGATGCTGTAATATACACACAGGGATAGTTGCTAAGGTAGAAATTCCATAACAACAAAAAAAAATCTATGTGACCTTTGTAACAGATAAATTCTCTGGTGATAAGCCAACTGAATAATCCCATATCATCTCTTGAATCTCTTTTCAAGCCAATGCTGCTATTCTGCTCATGCTAAAACAGGGCAGAAGCCACCTCAGCAGCCAACACTTGACTACAGATAAAGGCAAAAGCAGGCAGCATGAAGAGGAAGTTCTGCTTAACTTATGGAAAAGTATTCAAACCTCCACAATGCTACACAAATCGCTGGGGAAGTAGAAACCGCTATCCAGCCCAAATCAGCTGGGTAGTACTCTCTTTGTTCTATCCCAGACGGGCTGGCTGCTGGGGAAAAGAGCTGTCAGGAGAACTCTCGGCTTTGCCAAAGAAAGGTTTTCTAAATTCACCTAGAAATATTGTCCTTAAACTTGCAGGCTTGGCTGAGTTACTGGGACATGATGAATATCCATTCCTCTCCCCTTGGGTGGTTTTTTATTGGATGGATAACATGGCAAGTCAGATTTCTGTTTGTCTTTTTGTATCAGTGCTGTGATGAAGCCTCTCCAAGCTGAAACTGTACTCCACTGGGGAGTCCGTGGTTTCCGTACATAATCGGAAACGCACATGAAAATCTGTGATCGTGACCAGGTGAGCTACAGACAGAGGGCTGAAGAACAATGGATCAATAAAAAGTGACATATGGGTGTCTACTCTGGTTCTTCAGATCAGAAGCCGGCTTTTCAGGAAAAACACACACACAAAAAAAACAAACACAAAATATTCTAGGTAACATCTTCTTAGTTTTTCTGTGAGACAGGCAAATACTAAGCCTGGCACAAATCTCAGAAGTCCCTGGTGAATGTGGCAGTGCGGCCATCTGGTTTTCTCAGAAAAACAGTGGGCCAGTAATTCCCTTATATAAGAACTGTATTAAGAGCAAGACAGAAAGGCCACTGCATTAGGGGATTCATAAGGTCCTTTTCAAAGGCAACAAGAAAGCCTTCAACTCATCACTACTCTCCATCAGGCAGAGCTAAACTTCATGACACAGTGCGCCAGGTCTCCTGGCCAAGTGTCCCTTCAGAGATAGCTAAAGCAGCAGGAACAACTGGTCCTGTCTTTAGGATAATACGAGCCTGTCTTTACAGCTCTGTGCCGGGAAGCATCCTTTTCACATTTTAATCAAATTTCCCAAAGCATTCAATTACACCAGAACCAATGCCAGGTCAGCTCTTAGACACTAGCGGGAACCCTCCACTGTTAATGGGCCTGTCAGCTGGTCAATGCTGGTGTGAGGCAAAGCAGGGGATCAATCGCCCTGCCTCACTGCCAGCTCTAGGAAGGAACTCCGATTTACCCTTGCATCAGGCCCTGGAAGCAATGTGCCCCAAAGCTGTCTGTTATATTCTGCCTTCAGAAATGATAAAATGTCAGAAGAACATCCAGTTGGAATAAGATGAAGGCTGATTCTCAACTGCCACACCCAGGGAACCTGATGACAGACAGGACTATATTTAGAAGTTGGATGAAACCAGATAAAGACAGCTGCCCAGCAGCAGATTCAGAGAAGAAAGCCCACAAAGTAAAAGTTGAGGAACAGCTGGTTATGTGGCTGGATGACCTGGCAGCACAGCGACCCCAGATTAGCAGTTCCGAGCAGTTAAAAGGCTCTCAGGAGTATTTCTAGAAGACTTGGGAGACACGGAGATCAGCAGACAGACACATAGCTGCTGCTAGTGATATTAATAATAATTAATAATAATAATACATTTTGACAGCAATAATAGGTGTCAGGCACTGTTCTAGGTGCTTTACATTAACTCGTTTAATTCCAACAATGACACTACGAGGCAAGTAGCAGAATTCTCTTTTACAAATGGGGACACTGAAGCACTAACTTGCCAGAGGTCACACAGCATGAAAGCGGTAGAGCTGGGATTTCAACATCCATGCTCCACTGCCTCTGATGAAGGAAAAGGCATGTCCTTGCCTTCCTGGGGACTGAGACCGAGCACCAGTGCTAGGCACAATGTGAAGCAACTTGTTCATCAAAAGAATGATCTTTCCCACCACTTCCATTATTTTATTTGATACCAGCCAGCTGTTTAAGGTTCTTAACATATTAAGAATGTTACAAAGGCCCTTGGCAATTAGCTTAGAAAATGGGAAGTTCACGTTCTGCCTTTGCCAATGTATGACCACGTGGCACTCTCTGCTGTGGCATGAAGCACACCTGTTTCCAGATCACAGAGGAAGACAGTGTCTCCCACCCCAAGGCAGCCAGAGCTCCCCCAGCTTCTCTTCTGTATCCCCTCCACACCCTCTCCTGAGAGAAGTTACAGTGAGTACATCCAAAGACAATGCCCAATTCTGAAATACCTCCCCACGTTACAAAATAAATTCCATTATCGCTCCTATAGTTTTGATATTAAGTGTATTGTACGTAATTGCATTCTAACTCCTTTACTATGGGTAACTCATTTGTGGGTTTATACCTAACTGGGCAGATCGTGCCTGTGGTGGGAGCGGCTGATTGTACAGGATGCCCCACTTCTAGGGACCGAGCAACAGTGGCTTCAACTGGGCGAGGCTCTCGCATGGCGGATGTATCATTTTGTGGAGGTGCAAAGACGAAGTGCATCGGCCATTTGGCAGGGGTGTTGGGATGAGCAGCCACTGAGCATTTCTGGAGATACCCAGCATGTACATATCAATGGGGGCTCTGCGGTTCCCTCATTTCCCTGTGAACCTGGCCATTCTTACAACGTGAGAAAAACAGAACACAGACCCGCCAACTCTGTGAAGAATGGCCCAGGAAATAACACATGTTAGTGTTGGGATGGAAATGGAAATTAGGTAAGGCGACAGAGTGGTGGTTCCAGGGCAGGAAGCAGAAGTCATGGCCAGATTAAGGACTGCAGTGTACAGTGGGGCGGCGACTTGGATCTGTGCTGTGAATGAATCCACCCTATGCTTTTCATGGAAACAAGAAGTGACTGCAGACATCTTTCAGCGAGTGAACAGAAAAGAAAAAAACATCCTGGAGTCTTCAGTGGGGAAAAACAAAAGTTAGTCAATTGGCGGTGTGAGGCTGGCTTAGGGGATACCATTTTCCACGTGAGTATGTAAGGAGGAAGCCAGAATCCTGAATTATCATTGTCACTTTTAAGAATATAGGGATCTCTAGTTCTGAAACTGACCCAGAAACAGGGTATACCCTCTAGGTCTTTCTCAAAGAATACACAACTAGGGAGTTCTATAGTCCTCTTTTGGTCCCCACAATTTCCACCCCCAAGTCATGTTCCCAGCAGGGCTTGGGGACCCCTAAAATCTGAGCAAAACTCTGATCCCAACATTTCACTTGTGCTCTGTTCCCAGCAAATCTGGAGAGTATACATATCTGAGTTCAACTCAGAGTCCGGGTTCTATTCAGGAAGTGTTCTCACCTACAGCTGGCTCAGCCTAATGTGAAAATAAGTTTATATTCTCTGAGATGCATCAACTCTAAGAGAGATGTTGAGGGAAACCAACTTGGAAATAAGACTTGCCCTTGTATAATCAAAATCTCTGTAATTCAGGAATAAAAATCGACAGCAGACAGGCATAATTAGATGACTATA